TCATTATCTGCCAGTTATCCCAAGAGATAAACAGATGGGAAACGTCACTTAAAAGAAAACCACAGGCCTAAACAGTTGAAAGCCATGATCTCTCTCTTTCCCAGCTTCTCATGGTTGGAACATAGTCGCAATAACTTGTGTCCCTGTAAACTGGGATAATCGAAACTGAGCTGAACCCTCAGACATAAAGAAAAGCAAAGACAGCATTAGGATCAAACAGACTGTCGCAGAACTAGTTGAAAGTTCCCCATCAAAATTTGATTTTTTGACAAAAATAGGTCTTTGAGAATTCAAAATTTGGAAAATTTTGACTATCACCAGAATGTTGTGAATGGTCACTTGCAGAATTAGTCAGTTGCATGAAGCCTGTTGGACTGGTGTGTTACATCGTGCAGTGTGCCATGGCATTCAGCATGTCACCACAGCACGGCACAAACACATCACCCCAATGATGTATCCTCCCGGGCAATCTTCCCATATTATCAGGGTCACTTAAAACAGACGTTAAAAATCTTAAAAACCCCAAAATACCCCAAACAAACAAACAAAAACAAAAAACATTTTATCAGCTTTTCAACATTATTAAAAGATAAAGATTCCATTGGAAATATCAGATACTGTGTGTTACTTCAGTATCCATGTCACCAATAGATCATAGGAGTAGTGGGATGTGGAATCACCTGATGTATCTATTACACCACTAAAATGACCTAAACAATGTGCTAGTTATATATTATATGATGTTTTCCCCACCCAGACATCTGAGCCATTGAAAATACCATTCAAAATACCTGTAGATTTTACTGAGAAAGCCCTGGCACTTCCTGCCTTTGCTATCAACAGAGATTCAAGAGGGACCTGGTATTCACAGGCAATCTGTTCACCTGGAAACAGTGACTTTGTTCAGGCACATTCAAAAATCTCCAGATGGGAAGAAAATAGTTTATACTTATGCCAGTGATCGAGTGCACATGTGATCCACTAAACACAGGCTTTACGAAAACCAGTTGGGTCACAAACAAGAATGCATCCCTCAAAAAGAGAAGGGGTATATTTGTAGTTGTCACATGCCAGGTAGTCTGGATGGAAGACCAACCTGTCATTTCATCTAGGACACAGGTCTGATGGCAGGAGTCTGCCCAGCAAGACTGCTGGCTTTTGAGAGCTGAACCAGCATTTCTGGTCTCTTTAGCGTGAATGGATTGCACAAAGAGAGCTATACACAATAAAACCAATAGTTACTACGTCTAACTCCCCCTTCCCCCCCCACTTCAAAACAACTCAGATTTCTTCTCCTAAAACACCCCCTCCGCCCTGATCCAGCTGATACTCTAATAGGGAAAGCACTATTACATTTGATCTAGTAAGTGGCATTTAATGAAGAGTCAAAGACGCAGTTAAGTATCCCATTTGTTTGCCAGTGAGTGCATCTGATCAACATTTACCATTTGGCTCATGCAGAAACAGAGCCTTCTGTGTGAAATTGCTTTCCATCTCCTGACTTCCCAAAGCCACATCTAAGACTACACTAAATAATGACTGGCACTAGGACATACGATTAAAATTGTGTAGGGACAACAAAATCCCCCTTCAATTGTTCCTGGACATCCTGGCTGAGATATACAAAACCTTTCATGTTTACAGGCAGAGCTTTTTCCAATAGCTTTTTTCATTTAATTGAAACTGGGTTGTTTTTGTATGTTAGAAACTTTTTCCTGGAAAAGTAACAAGACTTAGATGCTCATTAACTTGAAGATACCGATCCCTCTAATGTGTCTGGACAAGGGCTGTCTTTTCAGCTTACTGAGGCATCTTAAAATTGCAGTCGGCTTTTCTGTGGGGGAGCAGGGAGCAATGGGAGAAAAATGCAATGTCCCTTGTATCTTTTTAGCTCAGAAAAATATGTGTGTTGAACCACCACTTTGTTGTCTACACAAAGTACACAAGACAAAAAAGAAAGAATTTACAAAGGAGACCAGACTTGTATGCACAGTTAAATCTCCTTCCATGCAGCTTCATATTTGCCAGAAGTGAGAAAAGCCATTACAGCTATATCCTGCAGATGTTTTAATCATGGTCTCTTCTTGTCGATTTACAGCATTCAGGTTTTGACTGATGTGACAGAAAATAAAGCAGACGGCTAGATTTATCACTGCTCCGATCTCTAATCACTCGCCAGTGTTACTCCCTGGAGCACTGTGGGGATAATGATGTTTAGCATAACACCAGAAAACATCTTCCTCTCTTCATTAATGCCAGACTTGGAGAAATAGCCTCCTCCTCCCCCCGCTAACAACCAGCAAGTTGGCAGAAACTCCTGCTCAGATTAATATGATGGCTTCTAAATTAACACACAGACTTTACTGGCCTGCTACTTTTCACTGAAATTGACTGCCAAGTGACCTGGAAAACAATCACTTCCCCCTGACCCACTTAAAACCTGGAGCACTTCAACTTTTCCCCTCCAAAGAGCCGGTATTCCCATTGGTAACACACACTGTGAGTCCTGCTGCAAAGGGAGAGGGAGCTGCACAATGCTGTAGCAGCAATATTAATCGCAGGTTGTGTCGTTTTCCACTAACAGGGGCAAGTGCTACTTTCTGAGTTACAGACAGCTTGACATTTTTAAAAATAACAAAAATAAAAAGTTTTTAAAAATAAAGCAAGCACCCTACACAATAATCTAATGCTCAAAGAGCTTGGACTGCAGCTGAGTTCTGGCTGACTGAGGAATGGGGTCAAACCTGAATAATAAACATCCACATCAAGACTCTAATGTGCTTTGATCACTTAGGGTGCAAACAAAGTTAGCCATGCACTTAAGTCTTTGTAGGGCTGGTTCCCAGCTCAGGACACTGCTCCATACAGGGTCTCATTGCAAAAGCCATTTGATAAGGAAAAATTAGGCCTTGATCCTGCAAAATACATGTACGGGCACTTAAATTTGTAGGATTCTGGCCTTACTTTCTACCTTAAAATTAGTTTGAAATATCATTATGAAGGTTCCCAGATCCTGGCCCTGATATTGTTTTAAGTCTATACAGATTCATGAACTGCCCCTGCTGCCACTCAGTGTGGTAGAGGGGTCTCTGGATAAATGGTCCCAAGTCTGGTGCCTGTTTTCAGCTTCCACATTTCACCCCCTCCACTCCCACTTAACTGGAAGGCAAGCAGCCCAAACGCCAAAGACATGCCCAAGTGCTGCCTAGAGACTGCTGCATCCCCACACCCTCAGCTGCAAGGTCACGCCCTTCGACGTCCATGTACCACCACCAAGGGCTAGTCTACATGAGAAATGCTACATCCGCGCAGCTAGGCCAGTGCAGCAGGGCCGCTGTAATGGGTCTGGTGCAGACACTTTGCCGACGGGAGAGAGTTCTCCTGTCCGCACAATAAACCCCTCTTCGTGAGAGGCCGTGGGAGCACTGTCCACGCTAGTGCTCAGGTCAGCGTAGCGCACGTCCCTCAGGCGGGTGGCTTATTCACACCTCTGAGTGATGCCAGCTACACCGAAGTACGTGGTAGCGTAGCCCTGGCCTAAGACAGCAATGAAAATAAAGAGTTTGGTCCTGCTTCTGAACGTGTTGGAACTGCTTAGAGGAGAGGAGACCCATTAATAAACCGATTAAGCACAGGATGATGTTTTACCTTTATTTCTCTTGCCACAGGGTCCTATCAGTATCAGAGAGGAGAGCTCTGCAGAAACAGCCGAGCCAGGACAGCCGCAGAGCTCTGGAAACTAGACTTGGACTGTGTGCCCAAAAGGCACAGATAGGGCTGACGGAAAGGGAGTGAAGGCAGAGAATGGGGTGGGGGGTGCACGGCTGGGCTCAAACCAACCCGTGCTGACCCCAATCTACCTCCTGCCAGGATTGCTGGTGTGACAGCAGCAGGACGACGAATTGGGACAAAAAGGCAACAGGTGTTTAGAACTCTTTGAGACAGGCATGAAATAACAGAGAGGCCCCTGTGCAGAAGAGGCTGGCCAGTAAACAGCCTGTGGTACCCACACCATATCAGAATGGGGGACCTACTCCAGGAACTGGCACTGCTTTGCCTCGTAGGGCTGTGCGCTACACTCCCCTTTGATATGGGGCCTCTGTGCCCCCCACGCGGCACTGAGCAGACGGGAGCAGCACACAGCAGGTGTTCTCCCAATCAACGGGAGAAGCCGCAGCACAAGGAGTCTGCCTCTTCCCAGGGCGGCGCGAGGGCCCCTCTTGGGAACGTCCACACACAGTAAATCACCAGGGAAGAAGGGATAAAGCCAGGGAAGGGAAGGGGAAAGCAGCTGCTTTCTGAGGCACATTCTCCCTCCCGCACAGAGCGGGGAAGGGCGCTCAACCCCATGAGCAGTGTGAGGGGTGGGTTGGAAGAGACACGTTAAGGTGGCACAATCTCTCTGCTGCAGCTGTTCAAAATGGCTGGCAACTGGACACTGAATACACAGCACTGCCTAATGCCCTCCGAGGGAAAGGTGAGCCACTAGAACCCGTATGCTTTCATGTCCAGAATGAACCCCGGAGCCCACTGAAGTCAAAGGCAGAACACTCACAGGCAGCATTTCACCCCGGAGGCAGACACGTTCGCACCACAGTTTGCTACGCAGAGCGGCCACAGGATGCAAATCCCCCGTGGACTGCGATATCACAGCCTGAAGATGGAGCAAGCAGGACGGCCCCTTTTACAGCTACTTATCGATTTTAAAGGCCAGAAAGGACCATGAGATCATCTAGTCTGACTTCTGGTATAAAAGAGACCAAGCAATTTCACCCAATTACTCCTGTATTGAGCTCAGTAACCATGGCCTGTGCGCACAAGTTGCTCACAAATGACTATTATTAGCCATTTGTATGGGCGGTCCCACTATGTGGGACAGCCGCTGTAGGGAGAGCACCCTGAATTAGGCATGCAGTTGCATGTGCAACTCTGCACCTAGCTGCATAAAAACCAAGCCATACATTCTTTGCCCCATGCGAAAAGCCAAGGCTGCCCCTTACCCCTTTACAGATTGCCACAGCCTCCTTGGACATGGATTTGGGATAGGCTACGTTGTGCTCCATAATGGACTGGAAAAGTTCATCTTCATCTTCCCCTTCAAAGGGCGCCTAGGGAGGAAGAGAAAGAAGACAGATTAAGTGGCATATCATTGTTCTTGGAATAATGTTTGTGTCTATGATCTTCAGGTAGGAAGTCAGCTGCCTTTCATTTCTCTGGGCTCTTCATGACTGATCTCTTCCAGATTTGCAGCCTCTCCCCATGACTGTGATCCACGACTCTTGATCCCCAGCACCGCACAAAGCACACAGCACTTCCCCCGTCCCAATGTTTGATGGGACAAAACAAATTGCTCTTCGACAGCTGCTCACAATGGAATTTAACAAAATCCCATGGGAATCAATTAAAATTCAATTACCTGGCCAGCTAACATTTCATAGAGCAGAACTCCAAATGCCCACCAATCCACCGACTTCCCATAGGGCTGATAAGCAATTATCTAAAAACAACAAAAACAGCAGGATTACAACACTTCAATTATTAGCCTGTTGGCACAATGCAAAATAATTTCAAGCCTTGGTCCAGGTCAAAAGGACAGGGATATTTATTTGTGGTCGGATTTTCAGAAGTGATGAGTACTTGCAGCCGCTGTTGAAATCTACAGTACTGGCAGGTATTCAACACCTTTGAAAGTCGGCATTGCACAGCGCTCATTAACATGGCAGAGGTATGACATCAGGACAAACACAACATTCCCTCTGGTTTTTCAACTAGCATGTATTTGATTTAAAAAAAAATACAGAACACACGGTGTCTAAAATACAGCCTGCTATGAGCTTCAGCTCCAAGAAGCCAGGTAAATTGCGATATTGCCTGAAAAGTCAACGCGTGACAAGAGAGAACAATAATATGATCCATCAGAGTGATCAGGTTTGCTTACAACTGTAGGTTCATCACTACAGATACAATATTGTTTCAATTAGAAACATTAGGCCAACTTCTACTCTCATTCACACTGGTGTAAAACTGGATTAATTCCACTGATTTCTCTGCAGTTCCTCTGGTGTAACAGTACAGAATTTGGCCCTCTAGGTATATTCAGTAGAGGTATACCTTTCAAAAGGGCTTATGAAATTTTAGTAATTAAAATTCTCAACATTTGAAGCTATTAGATTGCATTTTTATTTCATAAAATAGCTCAAACTTCCAGAAAACAAAAAAGAAAAAGAAAAAAAGCTTCCACAACTGTGCAGCATCACATTTGCTTACAAATCTGACCGTTTTGGAGTTAAAATGGATATAATCGTTCAATTTTCAATTGAAAGGCATTACATTTTTGAAATGTCAAGGGCCAAAATTTCATTGGAATAAGGGTCAATTTCTTGCCTCAAAACATGACATTTCACATTTTTTTTGCATGGCTCTTTTTGTGAAAACTTGTGGCTGTGAAATCACAGTCTATACAACCTTGCAGTGAAATCAGCAAGATCATTTACCAGCTTTGCACACAGCTTGGTTTAATTTCTTCTATGTCATGAACAGCCATCAGTCAGGGCAGAGTACAGCTGAACCCAACTGGAGTAATGTCTGGCACAGAGAAACTCTCCTTCTAGCGAAATAAATTGAAAGCTCAGAAATTGTTCTGGTGCATTGCAAGGTTTAAGTTAAAATTCTAATTCCAGAGAAACTCCACTTAGATAGCAAAGTTGTTGAGTGGAGAAAAACTGACCAGACCATGAGAAAGTCCCACTTTACCTAAATAAGCCTTCTCCACTTCACATTCTTCAAAACTAGAGGCAGTAATATTGCACCATAGTTTATGCTTTATGCATGCAGACGTTGCTGGTACGTATTCCTGCATTAGGAGCGGACCAGAGACTGTTCCCAGAAATGCATGTTCCTGCACAGTACTCAGACCATCAGCAATCTGCATGATCACTAGCAGACTTTAGACTTTGTTTCAAGATTGTGAACTACCTAAGCCATTTCGCAGTACCTTGAATAAGGGCCCAGGCTATCACAGTCAATGGGATTGCTCATGTACTTAAATCTAAGCACATGCTCTAAGGGCTTTGCTGGATCAGGGTCAGAATACTCATCGGCTTGTGTGATTGAGCCCCAAATGAACAAAGTACCTCGCCCACATGAAAGGACAATTTAGACACACCAGCATAGATTGTGTCTCTATCACAGAAAAATCGAATGTACAATCCCGCTGCACAACCGGGACGTTCCAGCCAAACTGTGGTGATACTAGCATGTGTTTTGATTTCCTAGCTATTTAAGGAAAGAAACTACTCCAGAAATAAGCCCTCCTGAGAGTGAAGGAGAGAAGGAGGAGCACCGTTTGTTCTACCAAGCTACTGAGTCAGCCGGCCCAGCTCCGTCTGAATGACGGTGCATATGGGGGAGTCTGGGAGAGTCCATGTTTCTGTCATTTTATTTTCCCATTTTCAAATGAGGAAGTCACTCTAGTCTAGGGTACAAATGATCAAAAGGGAAGCAGGAAGGAAACCCGAGCGCACGCGCACACACACAGAGTTATAACCAGGCTGGAAACCTGAATTAAAGGAACCTGGCTTCTGCAAAGAGTGAATCTGTGTTCTGAAGGGCTCTTTCAAGCCCCAGTTTATTTGCTTAGCTGCTGCTGCTGGGCCTCGTTTCATACAGAGTTTGACAGGCCTTAGGCTGTGCCATCTGTCACTTAACGCAGAACAATTACACAATTTATTCATCCTAATTACAGAATTCTATTCTGAATAGATTCATATATTCAAATATGAATGCAAATCACATGCTAATCACAGTAAAATATACACACAGTGATTCAGTTCAACTCCAAGAGGTTTTTCTTTCTGTTCCCACCTACCCACCCCCCATGTTTGACTGAGGCCCCAATCCTGCAATCTGATCCACACAAACGACATCTGAGCCCACATGGAGCCCCATTTCTCTCCTACGTAAAGAGAAAACCCTGGCACATTCCACCTCCCCCTCCCTCGGAGAACAACATCCCCAAAGAACAAAAGGCAACTGGCTATTTTTCAGATTACTCTGTCAATCTTCCATAATGCAAACAGCCACTTGCATTTGATTACAGCCATGAAATGGAACAGGTTATAACAAGAGCTTCTCTCTTCCGATAGTTTGGAAAGGACCTGGCTACATACAAGAGGCTCATGGGGCAGGGTTTAGATAAACAATACATGACCAAGCCTATCTGCCTAATAGATCAGAACAGCTCCAAAGTTACCCCTCTGGTGTACGACAAAGAGTCTAATTATGGCCTCTTACCATGCTCCATTTCTGCCCCATCAGAAAAATAAGGTGTTTTCAGTCTTTAAATCACAGGCCTCATCAAATGACCTATTAACAGCCTACTTTAAACCTACAAAAGCAATGACATTCAGTTAAGTCTAAAGGTCAGAGCTGATATCCTGTCCTTAACTTCACAGGGGCCCTGATTCAGCAAAATCCTTGCACATGTGCCTGATTATAAATGCATGAGCCGTGTGCTTAATATCAGACACATAGCTTTTTGAACTGGGGACTGTTCTTATCCTTGCAGTGTTGATGAACTACGGAGATCTGACACTGAGTTTCAGCTTGGAATTTCCTTGACTTCAAGTTCACTGAGTGTTCCTTTCACTTGGTTTTTGGTGATTTGCCAGTGCCCTGGGAAATTCAGGGGTGAACTACTCACATCAAAGCCCTCTAAGCGTAAAAAATATTAAACAACTAAACAAAAAACCTTGTAGTAAACCAATGTCTGTAAATAAAACACCAGAAAAAACAACCATTAAATAGCACTCGCTCCTGCACAGGAAACTGTACCAGTGATGGTCATTCATACTCACTTCAGTCCCTTAGGTACCAGAGTGACTTGTACCTTATAACAGAGTCCCAGCAAATGGGTCAAGCAAATCACAGGATGTTTCTAACTTGAGGCCATGATAGCATTTAGACATTTTCAGCTTCTTAATGGAAGGCAGCAGAGCCTCGTGAAGCAGGAACTGCACGGGAATGTAGGAGATCTGGGTTCGAATCTTGGCTCTGCTACTGAACAGCTGTGTAATGTTGGCCAAGTGTGTGTGCATAGTTTCCCCATTTATGAATTGGGGATAAATTTACTTACTTCCTTGAGATCCACAGTAAAGAGCACTATCAAATAATAATATTATTCCTGAATCCATTAGCAATTTGCATCCTAATTTCCCATTCTCTGCTTTTCTATTGAAAAAACAAATTAAACCAAGGAAAATAAGTGTTTGAGTGATAATGCTCAGTTGACTACCAAAGAACATGGTCATTTGTCCTGCTTTGAAGGAGTATTAATCACCCACAGCAACAGAGCTATTAGTCTTAATACACAGCGGCTACATAATACACATTTGGGCTAGTAGTGTAATGAAAGGTCTCCCTGGCAGAGACGAAACAGAAAGCAGTTTAGAATACAGGGACATAATCTGACATACATCTGAAGGTGATTTATTTTCTTAAACTGTTTCAATGGGTAAATACTAATGTTTCATTGCTGAGCATTCAGGCAGAATGTAAGAAGATTTCTTTGTTTTTTCTTTTTTTTAAAGGGGACAGGTATTTACAAGCAAGCGCAACACTGGTTACCTTAAATAAATGGCTAACCTGCCCCCAGGCGGTAATTTAAGCAAAATTTGTCACACACAATGCCATCAGTTGGTAAAGTAATAAGCTGATACAAGCATTAAGATATTGAACAGTTTGAGGACATTGCTACGAATTTATTTCAGAACACACCTGCAGCCTCTCACTGCGAGTCACAGGATGGGGATGCCTCAGGATTATTTTAATAAGGGAATATTAGTCACTGGTAGTTCTGTTTGTCATAGTTTTCCCTATGAGATGCAATGAGGTAACTAATCTGCCAGGAAAGGCCAGTGTACAAGCGATACACTGCCCACCCACTTCCATTCCAACTACAGACTTCCAGTACAAGGACAGGGAGATAGGCCTCCGTCAAGGCTGGGATGGGAGACGGGCTGACTACAGCCAGCAGACCTACTGGCGAGTAGTTTTCCCTTGTCGGCCGTCCCTCTTTTCCCATCCAATCCAGTGACACCATTTACAAACAACAGATGTTGCAAGCAGTGAGCAGATGGAGGTGCTTTACCTTACAGCTGTCCTGGAAGCCCTAATAGACAACAAAGTATCATGAAATGAGGGCAGATCCAACAGGTCAGGCCAAATGAAGAGGAGAACCAGGTGGCCACCTTACAGATTTCAGAAACAGACGCTTCTGCCCTCTGAGGCCAGTCCGCTCCAAATGGGAGCTCCAGGGAGAAATCCCAAGAGATGGAGCCTTGTCCAATCATGAGAAAGCCACAATCTAAGAAGGCAAAGATCTTTGACTCAATTTCTGCACTCAAGGGGTCAGGGGGTAGAAATGACACCACCACCCAGGTAGGAAAACATAACATATAGATTCCCCCCGGGCAAAGATTGGCAATGAGGACTCAGCATTTCTGCGAGTATTTGGACAGCAGCCAAATCGAGAGCCAGACCCAGCCGAACGAAAGGGAGCTGCACCCCGACAGGCGGCTGCAAAGTAGCATCAGAAGGTTAGCTAGACAGAGACAATGTCATAGGGTTCGAAGGACCGTGGGTGCAGAACCACAGATTTGGAGCTTAAGAATTTCCTCCCTCCCCCCCAAGGCTGCTCAGAACAGTCCCATAACAAGAAGGGGGGTATTGCTTTAAGAGAGCACTTATCCTGGGGCCTTCTATTATGGGAAGAGCCTGGGGAAGGCAGGAATCCCCCAGACCGAATGGAGGGGAGAATCCCTGCCCATTTAACACCTTGCGAACTGGGCCTTGTGAAGGCCAGAAGTCTCTTGCCTTCCATCCGCCTGCACCCTGAGCCAAAGCTGCAAAAGGGACAAAGTCCTTGTCGGCATCCCTGAATGAGGCAAGGCCTTGTGGCCCGACGTGGCTATTGAGCCATCCTGCAGATTCCTGGACCAGGTTCCTTGATGTACAGGAGGGAGCCATTAGGAAGGGGAACCTGCCTTCCTGGTCAGAGCGTATTCAGTAGAAAGATCACAGGCATTCTTGAACTGTCAACCTACATGCTGCAGCCCTGCTTCTGTAACAGACTGCTGGCTCTTAGCTGCAAATGAACAGGTAGGGCACATGTCCCCAGGGCTGGGATGATGGTGAGCGGGCTCTCCATGGAAGATTTGGACATAGGAACAGGGATTTCTTACACACACAGATGCAGAATTGCTAGGGAATCAGGACTGAGACAGGTCCCTACGAGGAGTGGTCCTGGGAGAGGAGTAAGGCCTGGAGACAGAGTAGCCTTGCCCCCAGGTCCCAGCAGGAGAGCATATGCGAGGAGGGGAAGATGGAGACGGAGAGGCCCCTGAATCAGAGGGACCCTGCTGCCCCACCCCAGTGAGAGGGAATCTGGGTGTGAGGAGATGAGCTCCTGGGGTGCTGGAGAAGGGGTGCAGAGAGATCCAGACCACATTCATAGGCAGGTCAGTGCCCATATCCCCAGCAACAAAGGGTGACTCCACTAGACACCACATTCCACTGGGATGGGTGGCGGGTGATGATGGGGAACAAACCTGGGCTGCCAGGGAGGGGCAGAGACTGCACTCCAGGTCCTGATCCCCAAGCCAGAAACCCAGGGAGGCCAGCAGAGCATAGCCTACTAAGGGGGCTATGGTGTCTGCTGGGTCTCTGTGCCGAGGGGCCACGCCAGCGCCAGGAGAGGAGCTCTCAAGTTGGCTGGACAACAGGCACAGAGACCCAGTCGTGCTGCAGGGAAATGGAGCTAGCAACAGCCCTGTGTGTCTAGAGGAAGGGGACTGACCTGCGCTGAGCCCTTGAGAAAGTGGTTTGAGGGGACAGGAGAGAATCTTCCTGTTGGTTCTCTCCTGTCTGGCCGGAACCCCTTAAAGTTGTGAGCAGGGCCACAGGGTCTTTGCACTAAAGCATTTCTGCGTGCTGCCTTCCCTCACCCTCCTTCCACCAGCCAGCAGCTGGAAGAGGGCACTGAAAAGCTGGAATGAGAGCAGAGAACGGAGGCAACTCCTTGCTTGCAGGTCACAGAGAGTTGGGAAGGAAGTGGGTGGACTCTTGCTCAGACATTAGCTTTGACTGACAGGCCTTTGGCTTCCTTGTTGATGGGAGACAAACATAGTAGTAATGCCTAATTGCTGCTGCTGGGGTCAGTGGGAGTGGCAGCAGAGACCACGGAAATATTTAAATGAACAAATGTTCAGTATAATCCTGGGTGACAGAGACCAGCAGCCGGAGCCTGGCAGGCCCCTGTGGGAGCCAAGCAAAACAGAGAATTTCTTTCCTGCAAGAAATTCTGACATCCCAACATTGGCATTGGTCCGCTCTGAGACAGGGAGTAGAAATTTTCCTTTTAATGGAAATTCTGAAAAAAAATTATGACTTGGAAGTGTTGAAATATTTTTGATCCAAACAAAACATTTAGACTTTCCCAAAATCAAAATGTTTTATTTCAGTTTTTTGAAATGACATAAAAATGCTTTGTTCTGACTCATTTCAACATGACACTGTATTTTCTTATGGTGACCCATTGCCTTATGGGAGTTGTCGTTCGGGAGCACAATGCCTTCATTTTCACCTTTGGCCCAGGCTTCCGGCCTGAGGACATTTCCCACAATGTATCCAGAGTCATGGGACTGCCATGATGCACCACACAGCTTGGGCAGAATGAAATCTGCACATTGCCTTATGGTAGATGTAGTCTTACTGGGAGCCCTGCCTTTTGGAGAAAAGGGGGCCAGAACTACAGCTCCCATAAGGCAATGTGTCACAATAGGAAAGTGTAGTTTATGTTTTATCGAAGTCATTTGAAAGAAATCATTTTGGGTCTGTTAAAAATATGAAATATTCCAAATCGGGTCAAACCAACCTTAAATGAAATATTTTATTTTGATTTTCCAAATGGGAAAAAAATCAATTTTTTGGGAAAATTAATTTTTTTCCACCAAAAATTTCAACCTTGTAGAAACTGCCCATTCTGTTGCAAAATCATTCCACTGGAAAAATTCCCAGTTAGTTCCAGTGACCATTTTGCTTTGCATGCGTTCTCCAGCTGGCCCTAAAGGGATCGCCCTTATCTCTGGTTTGAAAAACTCAAGCCACCTCCAGACTCAGTCACACAAGCATCTCTGAAGGAAATGCTGTCAACTGACAATTATTGTCGGCGGGCTTATGACAAAAGCTATTCAATGCATCCATTGAGTGACAAAAGCCACAGAAGCTATTGTATTTTCTCTGCCTGTATCCATTCAAACCTTGGTCAAAAGAAACAAAAGGTGATTTATGAAATACACTTTTCCATAAGATATTTTTATCCTTGAAAACCCATCACCTAGGAGCCTCTGCTGCGCATCTCATTCTCTCACCTCGGGCGCAATGTAGTCAGGAGTACCGCAAAAGGTCTTGGTAGTTGCTCCATCCCAGATGTTCTCCTTACACATGCCGAAGTCCGCAATCTTTATGTGCCCTTCGTTATCTAGCATCACGTTGTCAAGCTTTAGGTCTCTACAGCAGGACAGTAAAATAACTGTTATACAAAAGGGTAAAATTGAAAGGATGTAGTAAAGAAAGCCAACAGACCTCCTGCATCCAAGCTCATCCATGCACAGGGCTCTCCCCCACACATACACTCTTTGTAGGAAGACGTCCTGGGGATAATGATTCAGAATGAAATCTAGGCATACCGGCGCCCAATTTTTAAAATGTTTTATTCCACATAAATGCCAGGCTGGCCAACACACTGGAAAATATTCTGTACAGAACAACCTTGCACTAGCAGGGAGATTGACTTAATAGATCATTTTTCATCTTTAATTTCTATGCACCTCAAAGTGTATTTGGAGTTCACATGTAACCAAAAGGTAGATGGTCAGAAAAGGTTCTAGCATTATCTAAACTTCTCTTCCTAATGTAACATAACAGGCCTCTGTGCCTGACCCGCAGAAGGTGTGAGTCTGCTACACCTCTCAGCTCAAGGCTCTTTAGCTCAAGCTGTAGAGACTCATGCCTTCAGCTCTGGAGATCCCTAGGTCAGTTCTCCAGTGTTGGCTAAGATGCGGCCAGTGGGTTACACTAAAAAAAAGTTGGAAGGTAGTCTTTCAGTGAACGTTCAATATTAAGTTGCTCCTCATGTAACTACCAAGCGGCTTGATGTGGTCTGTGTTATTATTTTCTTGTTTATGTCCTGTACAATAAGCCAAAGGTCTCCTTTTGGGGTAATGGCGTATGTGCTGTATCTCTGTCCACAGGGTACAGAAAGGCCATCAGGCCGGAAACCTAGTGGTATATTTGTCATGGTGCAAACTATGAACTCTGAGTCAACTGTCATCTGCTATCAAGGTTTATGAAGTTGTGCCAAAGGCTGCAAATCTCTTTAACGGGGTAATGGAACAGGATGCAAAATCATACACCGTAGAGCTGAAGTTGAGGGCACATCATGAAGTTAACATCAACCAGCTTGGTAGACAGGGCCAGATTCTCATCTCATGTAAACAGGCATAGCTCCATTGACTTCATAGAGCTATGGAGAATTAGGCTAGATAAAGATCTAGCCCAGAGCCTCCAACCAGGAGAATGACTGTAGTTCAAAAAGAAAGCGGATAATCACCTGAGTTTCTGTAAAGGTGTTTTTGTTTAAGTTCATGGTTCGGTTGCCCCTTTTCACAATACCTCTGTCATATGCTCTGGATCAGCTATTCTAATGCAAGTTACCCATATTTGCTTCTAACACAAGCTACAGTAGGGTCTACTGGAAACGAAGGCTGGAAAATAACCACTAGTTAGGGTGGAAATAAACCCTTTGCCACTCCTTGATTTCCCTCCAGCTAATATTTTAGTAGCAGCATCTAAACTCCTCTCCCTCTTTGGCTTCTCACCCAGCAGCCAACTGGCCTCCAGCATAAACATGCATACATTTCAGCTACTAACTTGAGTCACAGTGGCAGAGCCTCTGGTACATGTACAAAGGTTCATCCCTCCGCTGACTGAGTGAATGCACCAGAATTATGGGGAAGAGTCAATACGAGAGCTCTGGAGTACAAATTCCCCAGTTAACTGAAAACATGTATCATGACTCAAGTTGGAAGGGAACAAAGATGTCATGAGCTGGTTTCCCTGGTGTAATCACAAAAACGTTTGGGGAGCACAGAGGGATGGGAAGACCAGGAGTGAGACTGTTAATCCTGCAGCAACATGGAAAGGGACACCAACGGAAGAGTATAAAGGTTTGGGATGGACAACTCAACAGTCAGTATTGCAACACACTTCATAGAGAAATTATATGTAGCTATTTGGAGCCAAGATAATTTCATATGCAAAATTATACTTTAAGCACTTCCTCAGTTCAACAAACTTATCTTGGTCAATTAAGTGAAAGTGCAATAGCAGGAATAGCACAATTTACAGTTGCTCACTTTTTGTAGGACTTCACTAACCATGGAAACAGTTCTTAGAATTCGGACTGGGCAAGGACAGATAAACAAAAGGCTGCATTCAATTTTATAGGGGAAAGAAGCACAAAGTACCAGTGAACTTACAATGTCTCTCTGCAACAGCCAATGGCAAAAAAAACGTCCCTCATGTCAGGCTGTCCCGACTGCTTTCGTCTTTGGAGCAGAGCATTCGGTACCTCATGACTACACTGGTGCAGTCAGCATTCTCCTTCATGGGCAGTTGATGTCATCTGACATTCATTAAGGATGTTCTGCTTTACTGTGGGCCTTGTGGAGACTCCACCATGTGAAAAAGAGCGATGGCTAGTTTCAGTGCCTCGCCAGAAGCCTCGGAGTGCTCTCCCCGGCCTGCCAGTGATTGAGCTAACCTAGAGTGTTGTAACTGACATGGCAAGCACTGGAATGGTAAGTGCCAGGTTTATACTGCAAGTCTCAGGACAAACCCTCACAAGCACTCACTTTAAGTCTCAAAGATGAGAAAACAATGCTCCCTAGCAAAATACACATCTCACAACTGATCCACTCCACCAGCCATGATTTAGGTTGTCCAAACAGAAATGTACAACAGGGAGGCAGGAAAAGAATCAAAACCACTTTTAGGAGCTCTCTTCCCTACAAAACTGGGATAAAAGACAATCATGCTCTCATAAAGCACTAACATTAGCAGGCCTCCAGTTCTATTTACTGCATGTACACTCAGACAGCTGCCAAACCGTGCTCCATGACACCGCAATGGGCTGCAGCCCCAGTGGACTGCTGTGCTGACTACTATGTCACTTAGCTGACACAAAAATGATTCCTTGAACCCTAAGCACAGAGTCCAGTCATTGTAATAAACAGGCTCATATTTTTGCACAAGTTCTTTAGAAGCGGACACAGGGAGATTATGTTCACCTACCGATAAATGATGCCTTTGCTTTGTAGGAAGAATAGGCCAATAGCAATTTCTGCTGCATAGAATCTGAAATTAAAGATTTAACAGGAAGACTGATAATTAAAGCAGATAAATTAAAATGAAAAGCTTTCAAATCTAATTACACAAAATGAAACACACTGGGCCTACATCCCCAAAAGATAAAGTCAAGTGCACTGGAAAAACACTGGACAAGTATCATGCAAGAGTGACATAGCTTCCCCTCTGCCATAGACTGGGTAATAACCACGATCAGGTCGCTGTGGGCTAGTGTGGGGCTGTCATTTTTGATTACATACATCTCCATTTTTTAAAAAAAGGAGTCAAGATCTACGACTGTTCGTTACGATGGGGTGATTGAACACGACACACAAAATTACAGGTCGTCATGGGGAGGCCAAGGAGATAAAGAAACCAGTGGTAACGTGTGTTAAAGAATATTCTGTGCTCAGAGGACCGCACCTGAGCTACACAGCATCCCTTGGCAAGGACGCTGCTCTAAATCCAGCCTGTATCTGGAGAGGCTGTTTAAAAAAAAACAACAACAAAAAAATGCATTTGGTGGGTTTGTGATACATTTTGTTATCCTCAGCCCAGATTATAGTCAGCAGGTGCCAAAACCACTGATCAGCACCTGGCTGGCAGTTGCAGTAAAGCAGCCAAAGACTGAATGTTCCTCTTTGATGGCTAGGAATGGCCCCTCCAGGGCAGGATTGAGGCATGTTTCCATGGCGGCGCGAGGGGAAGCTCCCATTCCTGCAGCCTGCGCTCTACTAAATCTATAACTTCTAGGGAGCCTCCAGGGCTCCTGGTCTGGCACCTTTTACCAGCCTGAAATCATGTTAAAACCACTTTCCAACACGCATCCCATAGCACAAGGCTGTGGCTCTCTCTCTCAAGACAGTCCATGGCAAAAGCCCAGCCCAAAAGGAACGGCTTGTTCCACTCGACAGAACAGCTTCGCTGCTTAAACACTTCACAGCACAGTTGCTCAGTCAGTGGATTAAAACTGGGGGAGTCCAACTGTGGCCCCCAAGCTCGGGGAAGGGCTGCACAGACAGCATCTTCACCTCCATATAAAGGAGTCCCTTGTGTTCAGAGGACCTCAGCTGGCTAGCCAGAGAGAAGCACTATGCAGGGGTCTCTGGATGGAGACGTGGCTCAAGGGAAGGACAGGTTGCCGAAATGTGGGGACATGGAGGACTCTCCTTAGAAGGCCTATGAAATCTCCTTGTAGGTGACGATCTAGAGCCAAGGTTTTACACACAATGGAGAACTAAACTTAGGCTCCTGAGTCCATATTTAAACACATACGTAAGATGGTCTGCTTTCCAAAAGTGCGTCTCCCACTGGAGTCAACAGGAACTGCTGCATGCTCAGCACATTTGAGACTCAGGCCACTGATTGATGTGTCTAAGTGTGGGCTTAGGGGTGTAACCATGGGAGCCCGTTTTTGAGAATCTTGACCCATGAGCACATCAGACATCACACTGAGCACAGCCTATTCTCCACGGGAAGGCACACTATTTGCTCCGAGGGTGTCATTCACTCTGCTCCTCCTTACGGGATCATGACTAGAAACCACAGACTTGAAAACCCCCATTGGTGGGATCAGGAGCCCCGGGCAGAGGCAGCAGGGTGTTTAGGAGAGTGCTAATTGCAGAAGGAATTCCTGTTCACCCACGAACTTCCTGGTGCCCAGCAGTGCTAGCAAAGGAAAGGCAGAGACAAGAGCACAAGGTAACGCTGTGCCAGTGACACGTTATGCCGTAGCTTAAAATCAAACCCCGGGGAGCCTCTTTGTAGACATGAGATTCATCAGTGTAGATTTACCTGCCGAGGGGTTCCAGTCTGGCCAATAGATGGGCTGGCCTGGGACACACACGTGTGAAATCTACTTGCTCTGTAAGAAGTTCTGCAGCTCTCTGACACGCTCAGGCGAACAGCAGGCCCAGGCCCAGCAGCCCTTCGGACTGCCAGCAAGCAAACCTTGGGGAGATGGTCACCTACCCTGTTTGCAGCCTCTCAAAACTGTTCAGTAGAGAGAAATTTGTAAGCACTCCCTAGTGCTTTTCAGGCCCAGGAGGCAAAAAAACCCCTGCTCTCTGCAATTACTTCTGACCATCGGGCTGGATTGTGAGCATTTCATCTTTGCATTCCTGCTGTCCCTCTGCTCGTCCCCCCATTCTGCAGGTCTCCTTCCTCAAAAACATGAACATTGAACCATGTATCCTAAATCCACAGATACACGCCACAGACCCATGAAATACTCCCCTCATCCCGCAACGGATGAATGTTAACGCTGGCTATTGAACTTACACAGCATGGGGCTCTTTAAACCTGCCGACCTGTTGAATCTGGTACATTAAGTCCCCGCCATTCACGTATTCCATCACAAAATATAAGCGATCCTAAAAAAAAAAAAAGAACACGAAAATTAAGAACAGGAGCAGAATTACAAGAGCAGGGAACGGAGTGAGGCTGAAGATTAGGGGGTAGATATATATTCACAGCCACCTAGCTCCCAGCAGAAGTGCCACTTGTGCCTTCAACAATCTACCCCTAGCTCTATAGTGATATTTAGCATATCGACAGGTTTCAGAGGAACAGCCGTGTTAGTCTGTATTCGCAAAAAGAAAAGGAGTACTTGTGGCACCTTAGAGACTAACCAATTTATTTGAGCATGAGCTTTCGTGAGCTACATCTGATGAAGTGAGCTGTAGCTCATGAAAGCTCATGCTCAAATAAATTGGTTAGTCTCTAAGGTGCCACAAGTACTCCTTTTCATTTAGCATATCGTTGCCATTACCGGGGCCCACCTTCCAACACTATGCAGACAAAGCTTGGGTCTGCACGATGCACATAAGGTCACCAGACCGATACCAGCAAAAATTCCTTCCTCAGTGTGTGTGTGTTTGTGGGGGGGAAATAAAAAATTGAGGTTTTGCAATTTGGTTTTGTCTGCACGGGAACAAAGATGAGCCCTTTCAAAATATTTTGCAAGACACGGAAGTGAGCGACCTGCCCCAGAATAGCCAGTGGGCAGGGAGGGTGGGTGGGGCACACCGGTGTATTTCATGGAGGAGCGCACTGGGCTGCATTCAAGACTTGGGGTATTTTTTATCGTGGCTGAGGAACAGGGCTTGTGACATCAACCAGGTGCAGGCACAGGGGGCTGGAGGTGGGGGAAAAGGTCCCCTGGCCAGGTGGATACACCTCACACGCTGCCGGAAAGAACCTGAACCTGTACTTCAACAAGAGAGGCGGTAACGGGTCCAGCCTTCGGGTCCCCAGCGAGTACCTCCTCCAGTGTGTGCAGGCCGCATGCACACTGGCCCTTCACCCCCACCCCCCCGCAGAAGATGAGCAAAGGGAAGTTCAACACAATCCCAGGCAGGAGCCTCCTCCACAGCAGGGCAGCAGAAGGCTCCAAGGATAAAACAAGCGTCAGGGACTTGGGGCAATATATACAATTAAAAGGAAAATTATAGGCCGCAGAGATAATTTGGGGATATAAAGGAGCAGCCAGATACAGTGGTCATTCAGCAAGCAAAACTTGAGAGGAGGCTTTTGATTCCTGGACTACAATAATGTGAAATATTTCACCCATTGTTTCCCTTCCGGCTCTCTGCATTTCTCCTTGAAATAAACCTTGCCCTGCTTCCAGGACTACAAGAGCAAGGAAAGCAGGAGATAGGCAAAAGTGAGCATTACCGCCATTAAAAACAATAGATGAGCACTTGGTAAACCAGCTCCTCCAGTCAGAGAAAAGCATGCAGTAAGCGTGTCCTCTGCTTTCGAAAAACACATGGACTCTGGCCACCTCAAGGATAATTAAACACGATAACCAAGGGCCCAGCAGGTGACATAAAACATGACATTACAGGCATCTAAAATAGGTTTAGACCCATCTGATGGCTGGAAGATTTGCACATGCCCCTCCATACATGTGCACACGGACATGTGCAGTGGAGGGAACTTGCATTCTGAAAGGACAGTCACACTGGTATAATAACTGGAATCTCAAACATTGCACTTGTTCAGAACAGTTACCTAAAAGTATCAATCATCATCAACAGGGAAGAACATTAAAAAGGTGGCTACTCGATACAGCCAAGCCTGTACCAAAAAACTTTCCTTGAGCTTCCTTCACTTTGGAGGAAAACAATGTTTGTGCTTTAAAAAAAAAGTGTATAGATAGATATAGATAGAAATATTGCTTCTTTCTTTTATATAGATATAGAGAAAGAGAAGCCAGATGGCTGACCTGACTGCAGGCTGGAACAGAAAGCTGTATCTCCAGCTAGGAAAAGCAACTCTGAGCCTCAGTTTGGAAGAAAAGAGCCAGGATTGTGCCGGGAGAGTGGAATAACTGAACTCGCTGAGAATTTGCACATTCCACAGATGTTCGATTATCGCCTGCCAAGACTTACCTAGGATTCTGATAAAACACACATGCCCCCTCTCACACCCAACGGCTGAGTCAGGAACAATGGGATTCTTTGGGTTTATTCAGGTCCCTTTATTCTACTGATTTTATTTACCATTTCTCCTGCCTTGCTTCACACTCCAACTTGGAGGCAAAGGCAGGACAACACCCATTATTATCGCTTACTCTTATGGAAGTGCTCATCTCCGTCCTGGCCCACATGGGAACAAGAGGTGCCTTTACGCTTGATGGGCAGTTAGCAGCAGTCCTTGAGGCCTGGCTTGTGCTGGCTGTGCCTCTGGGATTATAAAGATGCCAGAGTCACACTCACCTTTTTCCAGATTCGCTGGAGCGCACGGGCTTTTAGCTGATGGTGCAAAATTTCCCCGTGATGCCTGAACCCTAATTCTTGCATTCTATGAGAGGGGGATTTGAGATTTTTTCTTCTTTAATAGTCAGTTGTACTAACAGCGCAGGCTGGGAACTGTGCTTTGGACTGTGCTCCCAGAAATCAGAGGGCTTGCGATTGCATTTGATAATACACTCCGCTACACGTTTTGATTACATTACGAACATGATTACTATTTAGCTACTGTAGGTCTCCCAGAAATAATCCTGCACTGACTCACTTCAGATGCACAAAGATGGTGTTTGAAAGAGCTTCCCCTGCCATATTTTGATTACTGCTCTGCAAAGCTGGGCCACACACTTTAAATACACTGAATGTGTTTAGTAAATCCAATTGCCGGGATAATATTAAAGTGTAATCCTCTCAGATGCCACTGGCATCCGTCTAAAGGACTATACCGATTACTGTTCCCTGCTCCTGCTGACAACTACTTGGGCATTTTCATTTACAAGTTGTTCAACAGCTGGCCAGAGACTGCTTTAAAAAAAGCTATTTATTATTTGCAGAAGATAATAAAATGTCTATTTCAATCGGAAATTTCTGGATTTCCTATTAGCTTTCACCATCTGCTCAGCTTCTTAATTCCAAGCAGCAAATACTGACAAAAGTGGTATTTTGCTACCTGGACTGTAACTCAAACCCTAGACAAAGGGTCTTTCTGAAAGGCTTAAGGCCCAGGTCTAATTCAATCAAGGGCCAGCTGATAAATTTGCCAGGTTCCCAGCCTGAGGTGCCGTGTTTGAACATGCACACCTGGAGGAAGTGTTTGGTGCATGCAGCCATCTTTGCATGGAAGTCTGGTATAGGACAAGGCTAGCAAGAGGGAAACGTATGCGAGCACCTTTCCATGCATGGTTCTTTGGGTGCGCAGAGTGAAATCAGAGGCAGGCTCAAAGGGGGCGGAAAATCTGGCCACATATTTAATTAATAGATTTATTTACAGGCATTTCTATAGTGCTTCAGAGCAGCTGCAATGTCTCAGTATCACCTGAGGTATGGAGAGAACTTGGGTGGGGGGATTCCCTTCTCCTTGGATTCAGATAATGAGGTATCTCAGGGGCAGGACTCTACCCTCCACCCCTGCCTGAAGTGACTGGAGCCTCTTCTGTTCCACAGCACCCCAAGCTGGTCTAGATTCCACGGTGCCTGGGGGGGAAGTCATCCACCCTAACTTTCGCATTGGATACAAACCCTTAAGTTACACAGGGCCTCTCTGAGGGCCATTTTGCACAGGGCTGATGGCAACGTAAGCACTGCCCACTTACCATTGTTTGAAAGCAGGAGTGAAGCTGTGTTAGGAATGGAGGCTTCCCAGCCAGAGCCAGCACTCGCTTCTCAACCATTGTGCACTCCACGTCATCGTCCTGAATAACGACGTCCTTCTTCAGGATCTTAACGGCATAGAGCTCATCAGTGCCTTTTCTTTCCGAGAGCATGACCTGTGTGGGAAATGGGAGAACTGTTTACACTGTGCGTGTACCCGGGCTACATTTCTACTTTGTCATCCCAGATGCCAGAAGATCCACATAGGGGTGGTTTATTTTGCTATGGCTCCCATTACCACGGCACAAGAGCGTCTCGGAAATATTTACCCTCCCAACAACACGGTGAGGTAGTTTAATCCTTTTATCCTCATGTCACAGATGGGGAATTGGGGTACAGAGATACTAGAGGTCAGATTCTCAGTGGTATCTACCCACATCTTTAGGCACGTAATACCATTACAAATCTGGCCCTACATGAGTTACCCCAGGTCAGATGTGGAGTCTGTGGAAAAGCCAGGAATTGAACCCAGATTTCCGGTCCAGGGACTTAACCACAAGACCAGCCTTATTCTCTGAGTGCCCATCCATATTTGGGGTGCTCTGAATGGAAGCAGCACTAGTGGATGAGTCTCACATTCAGAGAGCTTCAGGGAGTCCTCATCGAATACCACAGTGGTAAAAAGTTATGCAACTATCCTAATTTGCTTCCACTTTGTTTGACAGTGAATGGAAGGTGGCACTCTTTATACCCCCAGGGTAAATTGAAACACAATTATTCATCTGGCCCCTCACTCAGCAACTGCTTTACTTCATGCAGAATAAACTCGTTCACCTAATATTTTAAACCAGTTGTGTCAATCTGCAGATTTATTTATTACAATAAATGGGGGCTGCCGTCTCCTGCTCATGAGATTTTGTCTCATTAATCAAATCGACCCGAATGAGGACTCCTGAAAATCCTGCCGACACCCACAGATTATTAAGATACATGGTTTCAGTCTGGTGTGGGCTGCTGCCAAAACAAACACCGCTCACCAGTGGCCACGTTTTGCTTCCCATTTTCTCTCTCTCATTGTGTTAAATTCAGATCGCCAGTGGAATGGAATTACTTTACATTTAAAAGAGCCTAGTCACACTGAGAACATACGTTAGGATGTTTTGAAAATAAATTAGGAGAAATGAACAGCAATAGAGTGGAACAGAAATAATGTAAGACCAGAGCAGAGCTGGGAAAGGCTAAGCAGCATCCCATGGACTTTGGAAAGGCAAGAGAATAGAATCCCAGCAAAGATACCGCTGTTTGGGTGACAGGAGATGTGACCCTAAGAGCGCCACAATCCCCCCAGCAGAGCGTCCACGGTTCTGTCACAGCAACTTCTATCTGGCCTGACCAACTCACGACACCTAATACATTGCTGTCGTGGTATTTCTCTACAAAGAATGTTGCATAAGGTATCAAATGAAAACTAGTAACATACTGGTCATTATGACCATTGCATGATGGATGTCCAGATAACAATTAAGAAGCTGTATGTGTAGACTGCAAATATGTTTAAACCAAGCAAACCAGGCAGGGCTGATAAAGGTTTCCCAAATAAAGGAACCTTGACTTGCCGGTCTGCCCAGGTCTCTCACATGTAAATGGAGCAGGGTTTGCCAGAGACAATGGGGATTATATTTGCATATTGAGTCAGCAGGAAGAGCAAATTAACAGAAGGATGAGAACAACAGCATGGCTTGTGTTGCTGAAGAATAGAGGGGAAGATGACCTTTTTTCCTGGGGTGCATTTCACAGGATAGATCTCAAAGATTTACTGGACTGTAAGAAGAGGGGGAACAAATCTCTGCGGGAGCAAAAAGAGCAGCACTGTTTACATCCACAAAAGCTGGATCCTGGCTGGCGGGTGCTTCTGACACAGAGGAGACTTTCGGTGAGCAATCCTTGGTCTAAGGCAGTTTTAGACATTACCTTTAGGCACTAGAAAGCATGTTATACTTTTGTTTTATTTAAACCATTTTCTGTTTTTATTAGCCTCGCTTAGTATCACTTGAATCGCTGTTCTTTATTAAAAAGCTCATTCTTGGCTTTACTAAATGTTCCTCTCAGTACAATATATTCAAGTGTGAATCCTCAGCCGAGCCAACAGGCAGGTGTGTTTGTTGTCTCTCTGGAGACAGTGGACTTGGTAATTTCTGTGAGTCTCCAGTGATGGGCTGGACACTGCAGGCCAAGGCTCTTTCAAGGGGCTCAGGCACTGACTTGCACCAAGTGTTCTCTGCACGGTGAACTAAGGGCTGGCAGAGTCCTGCGGAGCGTAGTGGGCTGGTAACAGACCGAAGTGTCAGGGAGCTGATGCACAGTCTAGCAGCAAATCTCTTGCGTGCTGAGGCAGAGGAGTTACAAGGTAATTTACGGTTTTGGATGCCCCCAAGACAGTGTCACAGGAAGTAGATTAAATACAGTGACAATATCTATGTTTCACCGCAGGGTTAGGAAGGGTTTTATTAAATAGGGGTCACGGGGCCTAATTCTACTGTGGTACAGCGATGTAAACTGAGAATAATGCCAGAGGTGTGCAGTTTTATATTTAAATGAGTGTAACAGAGCAGAAGGTGTCTGAGTCTGTCTAAGATTAGTAGATAAAGCCCTGGTGAAGAGCATAGGTCAAGTGTTTTTGCAAATATTTGCATATTAAAATGAGAATCCCAGCTGGTGAGGACATTCATTATTACTCAGTTTAACTAATGTAACTCCACCACCTGACAGTTCCACACAGCTGTTCCATATCAAAGCCCAGCTAACTCATCCCCACAGTTTGCCATGTGGCAGGTTAATGGGATTGCCCATTAGATGGGAAAAGCACGGCAGTAAGACAGAGGGACTTGCCTGAGCCAGGATTAGAATCTCAGTGTTCCCAACTCTCTGCTCTTTGCTCAGACCAGGAGACCACAGTTCTGTCCTCTTACCCGACAATGGTTGCAGACAACTGACCTGAGACAGTACTGGGCCACATCCTCAGCCGGCAGCACTTGGCATCCTCCACTGAAGTCAAGAGGATTGCTCTTGGGTTTACAGCTAAGCACGTGCTTAAATACTTTACTAGACAGCAGGCCAGAGTGTTCAGCATCCAGGATGATCAAGCCCTCGGGGCCTGCACCGAAGCTCAGGAAAACCCTTGGGAAGATTTCCATTGACCTTAATGGGCGTTGGGACAGATTATTATTCATTATTATTATTAGTATGGCAGTAGCACTTTGAGTCCCCAGTCTTCAAGTTGAAGTTCAAATACCTCAGCAACCTGGTTGGTAGGGGTGTGCGTGCGTGTGTATTCACTGGGCCATGAGGACAAAAACATGAAGAAGGTTACTAGCATGTGTCCTTTCTTATTTGGGACAATGTCATAGATTCATAGATACTAAGGTCAGAAGGGACCATTATGATCATCTAGTCTGACCTCCTGCACAACGCAGGCCAGAGAATCTCACCCACCCACTCCTCACCTATGTCTGAGCTATTGAAGTCCTCAAATCGTGGTTTAAAGACTTCAAGGAGCAGAGAATCCTCCAGCAAGTGACCTGTGGCCCCATGCTACAGAGGAAGGCGAAAACCTCCAGGGCCTCTTCCAATCTTCTCTGGAGGAAAATTCCTTTCCGACCCCAAATATGGCAATCAGCTAAACCCTGAGCATATGGGCAAGATTCACCAGCCAGATACTACAAAAAATTCTTTCCTGCACCCTGATCCCTTGGAGAGGAAAGAAGGTCAATCCACCCTCCGGTATTTTTAAAACCATTGCTTGGAGAAGGTATGTCCTGAAGCCTCAGAGGGAAAGGTCCCTAGTTTCCCTTGACTATTTTTCACTAGCTCATGAATGACATCAGGAGTCAAACTGGGGGTGGAGGAGAATGATGTTAACACTTCTCTGAACATGAGGTAAGTTCTACCCACCTATGAAGCTAGAATGAGATGTCACGGACAACTGACCATGGGGATCTTCAGAATATACTCACCATTCTTTCTTGTAAGCTTTAATCATCAGGGAGTTCCAAACACTGACATATAAGTCATCACCATTAGGGTTCAGAGCTGACACCCTAACATCTCGAGAACAGCGAGAGTTTGCACCTCCTAGAGGTGCTGTTTTAGGCTGCCTGCACATTCAGGCAGAAGCTGCCAGTCTGCACTTAAGATAGCCACTGCCTCCATGAGGGCTAGAGGGTCTTAATTTGTTTTTTAATGAAGCATAAGATGTAGGAACAAGACCTGTTTAGCACGTTGCCATGAAACAGCCCAATGAGGGACAGGGACAAGGAGCAAGAACCTTCTTGCATTTAGTCACAATTCTCCTGTCAATTCACTGCATGACTTGAACAAGTCCTTTACTCTCTCTGTAGTTAGGTTTCCTCCTCTACAGAACTGGGATAGTTGTACTTGCCCACTTTGCAGGAGCATTTGTAGAGATAAATTGGTTATTTCCTGTAAAGTACTTTGAATATGAAAAGTGATATAGAAGCATACAGTTAAGATCGCTTTATTCTGTCTGCTTGCACCTGACCTGTACAAGCACTTACAATTTTGCATGAACTAAGGCATGTTTTAAATTGATCATTGACATTTATCCTTAACATTCTCATGTAGGCAGTTCAGGTTTATAAGTCACCCCGATTGTGTTTTGACAGACAGAGTTGATTTTAATTGATCAAAAAGGACGGGCTTTGGTTCCTGAAAGCCATCTGAAGAAGGGAGATGATCTGGAAGTGAGTGAATAAACCATATAGTTCACATCTGGAAGGATCAGGGCTCCAGCTGGCTTGACACCTCTTTCTGAAAGGTTACATAGAATCATCGAACATCAGGGTTGGAAGGGACCTCAGGAGGTCATCTAGTCCAACCCCCTGCTCAAAGCAGGACCAACCCCAACTAAATCATCCCAACCAACAGGAAGGAGATTCCACCACCTCCCTAGGTAACTCATTCCAGTGTTTCACCACCCTCCTAGTGAAATAGTGTTTCCTAGCATCCAACCTAAACCTCCCCCACTGTAACTTGAAACCATTACTCCTCGTTCTGTCATCTGCTACCACTGAGAACAGTCTAGATCCATCCTCTTTGGAACCCCCTTTCAGGTAGCTGAAAGCAGCTATCAAATCCCCCCTCATTCCAGCCCCCTAATCATTTTTGTTGCCCTCCGCTGGACTCTTTCCAATTTTTCCACATCCTTCTTGCAGTGTGGGGCCCAAACTGGACACAGTACTCCAGATGAGGCCTCACCAATGTCGAATAGAGGGGAATGATCACGTCCCCCGATCTGCTGGCAATGCCCCTACTTATACAGCCCAAAATGCTGTAAGCCTTCTTAGCAACAAGGGCACACTGTTGACTCATATCCAGCGGCTCGTCCACTGTAACCCCTAGGTCCTTTTCTGCAGAACTGCTGCCTAGCCATTCGGTCCCTAGTTTGCAGCAGTGCATGGGATTCTTCCATCCTGCACTTGTCCTTGTTGAACCTCAATACATTTCTTTTGGCCCAATCCTCTAGTTTGTCTAGGTCCCACTCTATCCTATCCCTACCCTCCAGCGTATCTACCACTCCTCCCAGTTTAGTGTCATCTGCAAACTTGCTGAGGGTGCAATCCATCCCATCATCCAGATCATTAATGACATCTCTAAATCTTGTGTCTCTGCATTAAGGCCACAAAAGGGCTGCTTCCTTGCAACCAACAGCAGGAGGAGTCTTGGTTGTCAAGCAGAGGAATCATGATTGGTTTCAAAGCTTGGAGAGTTGGGGTACTTTTAAAAAATTCTGTGCCTGGAAGCTTCCAGGAGAGAGTGTGCATCCTTTTGGTAAGAAAGCTCACTGAGGGACAAACACACTGGGACGTTTTCCCTGAGGTACAAAAAAAAATAAAAATTGATTACACTTCAAGATAAAAGCCACTGGAGTGCAGGGTTCAGTAACTAATTATGTGGTGGATTCAGACACTGCTTAGTGAATTGGAGCCTAGCCCTCCAGGGTGAAAACCCCCAATAGACTGATGGATGGTGCTGAAGTTATGTCCGTGTACATTTCTCATCAAATTGGAGGGCACATCTGTTGCCACATCAGTGTTCGTAGTGTCTGCAATGGAATGAGAGGCCAGAATTTCCTGGTGTACAAAATTAAATGGGAAAAAACTGCTCTAGGGTTTACTGAAGCTGTAAATGTTTTATTCAGTGGCTCTCCAATGGCATACCGACGTTGAAACGTGTGGCATGCATCTTGGTGTGCTGGCCTTCCGACTGTGAGCCAAGCAGTTCCACTTCACGAAAATACAGGCGGAAAAACAGAGCTCCTTCTCTGCAGCTGCGTAAGAAATCAGGGGGCACTTGCACAGAGTGTGTGTGTTATGTGTGCTACGAAGCCTGGGTCAATGTATTACTCTGTTTACATCCAGACTGAGAGACACGTGGGGTCACACAAGTGTAAATGTGGAGTTGCTTCACTTAAGTCAGTGGAGCCACCCTGAATTCAGACCTGCACAACCGAGGAGAGGATCTGACCCTCGCCCTGTGTGGAAGGTACTTTCCAGGCTGCTAGGGAGAGGCATTCTGTGCAAATAAGGCAGTATAGTGTCTGCAGATTTTGCTTCCTTGCTGTACTCACCTACATCACTTTAGCAGCACCCACAGCACCTCAAACCCTATAAATACCGGAGCAGAAGAGAAAAACACCACCACATAAGCGGTTTATACCATTGTCTTCCGTGCCATCCTACCGCAAACTGTGACTAAAACTGATCTATCTAGGTACTTATATGACCCTCATCATCACAGTAGCTGAGTGTCTACTAAAATGTCTATATAAAGTGATTCCACTCCAAGATAAAAATGGCCACTGGTGAGCAGTCTTCAGCAACTGCAAATAATGGTGTGATGGGTCCAAAAATGAAGGCTCTCCCGCACTCCAGGGAAATAATCAATCCTAGACATGCAGAAGAGTAAGTAACCCAAACTCATTCAGTCAGGGGATCCTGCCAACACCCTGATCTGCAGAAGCAAAAGGCTCAGGCCTTTCCAGAGAAAAGCCATAAAACTCCAGCTCACTTGTGTGACAGACTGAGTAGCTGCAAAATATGAACCAGCTGCATAAATTTAGCTTTTTATGATTTTGGTTAAACCAGAAACCAATGGGAGGCTTTGCCAACATTGCACTATTGAATTAAAAACAGCCTAGGGAATAATGGGTCCCTTCTCCCCCTCCATTTACTAAAGCTCAAGGAGAATCCCATAATTTATAGCTGTTTGGGTCTGCTCTGGTCCCGGCTATCAGAGCAGCCAAGTATGGGGAGCATTGGTCTGTCCTCTGTCCAGGAATGGGCCAAGAAGCCCTGGATTCAGTGAGGGGTGGCCTTAGCATCTTGCTAAGCACATTTCAGCCTGAGTCCAGGTGGAAGTGGAGACCAAACGCCCTCTCAATGAAATGTGATGCCATTATTTTACTGAGCTCCCACAGCAGTAACAAAGCCAGGGGAGAACTGTTCCATCCCATGACCCTCAAGCCGGTCTTTGCGGTGGCTTTACCCCTACAGAACACACACTGTAAGATAGATTGCAATTCCTTTTCTGGCACATGAGAAGCTGATATTTAGCTTGATTTATTCCTGTAACAGAGTGTATGTGCTCGGGAAGGTTCCAGCATAATAACTGGAGGCAGTCCAACTCTGGATGAGAAGAGGACAGGTTTGTTAAACTCCACCAAGCCCAATATCTAGGTTTTCCTGATGCTTGCCAGCTGTAGCATGCAAGTGAGGAGAATACTAAGCAGTAAATGCTGGCTCTGGGTACCAAAGAGTTAACAAGTTTATTAAACAGGGATTCACTAAAATAGGTTAAATTATACTCAAACAGCTCTTACAGGCTGTTTTGAACCTAAAAAAAATCAATGACTTGATAGGTGGTTTGCCACGTACAGTAAAACATGGAAGTTTAAGCTGCGGCCATGCAGGCAGAGGAAGGAGGCTACTGTGACAGATACAAATTACTGCTAGACATGCTGCACATGTCTAGGGCAGAATTTGTTTCTCAGATCTGCACAGCAGAGCTCAGCCATCCCACGGAGCAGTTATGGGGAACAAGCAGTGAACGTAAGAACGGCCAGACTGGGTCAGACCAAAGGTCCATCCAGCCCAGTATCCTGTCTTCTGACAGTGGCCACTGCGAGGTGCCCCAGAGGGAATGAACAGAACAGGGAATCATCAAGTGATCCATTCCCAGCTTCTGGCAAATAAAGGCTAAGGACACCATCCCTGGCCATCCTGGCTAATCGCCATTGAGGGACCTGTCCTCCATGAACTTATCTAGCTCTTGAAGCCTGGACAGAGCTAAGGAAACAAGATGCCCCATTATGGGGAAAAGATTGTTTTGTGCTGATGCCACCTTAGACACAGTGCCTCCCTGCCAACATGCCCATTTCACATGCTAGCTAGCTCATGGGCTGGGATGGATTTGATGATCTGCATGGTTAATTTTGAAATGTCCAACAGCTCCCTCTTACTAAAGTGGAAAATAAATAATAATAAATGACGTCCTCTCCACCAAGTCCTTAAAAGCCTTAAATCCTCTAAAGTGTTTTCCCAGATATCCCTCCGGCAGAGACACGCAGCTGGAACTCCTTGATTTCAGAATGTTAAGGAACAAATGTGAAGGAAAGGATGAGAGGAAAAAAGTGAGGAACACTCCCACTGGAGAATAGCGGGAGCTGGGCTGGATCTAATCACATAGACCAACGTTCTGTTTTAACGAGCACTAATTAGCATATTTATAACAGTCTGTTCCACAGAACAGTTGCTGTCACATTCCCTTACATAAGCCACGATTCCAACTGGGGGGTTTGTTAACGTTTCTCAAAATAAAAAGAAGAGGAGAAAAAACTCTTAAATTCCCAGATGCCAAAGCAGTAGACTTTCAAAGGGATTATTTGGGGGGGGGGGGAAGAGGGGGAAGGCACAGGGGTAGAGAAAAGAGTGGGCAAAAGCAGCGGCTAGATTTTAGTGTTGTTTTAAACTGCAGTTTGCTAGGGTCTGAGATAACGAACACGAAGGCACTTGGGAGAGGTCACGGCTGGCAGAGAATGTTTAGATGGTTAGTGACTGAGCTACGTTTAGTATCAATTTGACAGGGTTACAGGGGAAAGTTGAAGACCGGTTCCAATGTTCCTGGGTGTGAGACAGATTCGGATTGATTGACTGGCTGAGTTAAGCTGCATGTGATTATTTAATACTGCTGAGCAGTCACTAATTAATTGTTTGGGGGCCCACCGCTTTCTGTATGGGGCTGTTATTTTGTTGTTTAAAGCTAAAGAACTAGAATAAACCCACATGAATCTTCACTACTATTTTAGCTTTATAACCAAGAGCAAACAGCTAAAACGGACCCTCTCCAGAGCTGTCTCTTCGAGAAGCTCCTGGGGCAGCTGCCCAGAGGGAGAGTCTGGCAGGTTCTAAGGGTTGAGGGAAGGTAACACATTTGCCTTTCGGTAACACCTTTTGGAGGATCTCAAAGCCCCCACAAACATTATTTACTCTGTGAAATATTCCCATTTCCAGATGGCAAAACAGAGGTTGTGACTCGCTCAAGGTTGTGAGTTGGTGCTAGAGCAAGGAACAGAACCCAGACCCCTGACCCTAGTCTTGGTCTAGCCATGAGAGATTATGCCTCAGCCTGCTGGTCTGGAGTAATGAGGCAGAGCCTAGATTAGGAATTATTATGGACACATGAATGTCAAGCACCGCACTGTTCACAGATGTACGAACACATGGACCTCCTCAGACCGCACCTTTCCAAAGCTTCCTTTCCCCAGCACCATGAGGAAATTAAAATCTGACAGTTTCATCCGATCTCTGTTTCCATTGTTGTCAAATTTGGAAATCGCATGCGTCATCCTCTCCTCAGCTGCCTTGGCGCCTGGACCAATCCTGGCTCTCTGAAAAGGGAAGAGTGGGGGGAAAAAAATCAAGTGAAATGACAAGACCGACCATTTTTAAGAGTGAGTGTATGTTAAAGGGATTATTTCTAAGCAAAACACTAGGCTGAGCTGTGAATGCCTTTTCCATATGAACAATCGAAACACCACCCAGGTCACAATTTGGTAGGTTTGCAAACATAATGTGCTGCATTGCTCCCCGTATTTTAAAACGAATCTCCTTGGAAGGTACCTCCCCATTATCCCTCCCTGGAGAGCTCAGAGGTAGCTCACTGGCTCCCTCCCTCCTCTCCTGCAGCTTTCACAATATTGGGAAAAGCTAACTTGATTGGTGAGGGGAGAGCTTCCCACAATGTATCGAAAAGTAATTAGAAACAGAAAAGGACACCACCTAGACCACTCCCCTGGGGACACTACACTGCATATTTTCCACTTCTTTGTCCTGTCTCTTTTTAAATGCCTTTGTTCATGGGGCTTCCACCATTTCCCCTGGGAAGGCATTTCCTTAGAACAAAGAGTCTCTAAACTCCAACTACGATACAGAGAATATTAACTCTTACTGGAATACTTTTAAGTAATAAATCTGCGGAATGCCCTTACAAATTGCTATGAGAGGGAGCAACCAGGGAGCGTCGCCAAGCATGCCACAGGTTAACCAAACATTTAAAACTCTGTTCTCCCCCGAGACATGCGAGAGAATGCTCATCAGTAACAGCACACATGCAATAAGATCCAGGAAATAAAAAACACACATGGGCTTAGATGAGCTGCTTCCTTTACAAAGGCAAACTGTATGCGTTGGGTCCTTGGCCTTATGCGCAAAGGTCTGTTAAATACAAACATATTGGAATAAAATAAGGGGAATTTTTACCCAGCCCAGACTTTATTAACATCTGATATAAAAGAGAACTGGGCTCCTCTGGCATTTCAGGCTGAATGCATGAAACCACAAATACATTTCTGAAAACAGACTCGACAGTGCTTCTTCTTCTGCATCCTCAAAGCAATCACACAAGCTGGCTGAATCACAATTGCTTATTAAGAAGCCTCACAAAAGACATTTTTAAGCACTAAAGCTCATCACTTGCTCTGTGCCTTGTCATTGGTCCAGTGGCTATCTAACTTACTGAACCAGAATTTGTAAAAGCTCTCTCACAATGAATTCAGTTTTAATTTTTAGAAATATGCCACACTGTAGAGCCTGCACAGAGCTCAGTCTAGCATGAAATTCCATTAACCCGATTCCAGCAGTTCAATTTTAGTGTCGCTCACAACTCCTCCAGATAGGAGGCTCACAAGTAATCACCAAGACTTTGCTGGCGCTAATTGGTTATTGCAAGGTTCTCCCTGCTGTAAAATTCTCCATTCAAGGTCACCTGCAGCACCTACCAATATCTGACAGAAGGCCTTGCACTGGAAACAAAAGAAAATTTTGCAAAAACCTGAAACCATTGATGTCTAATTGCAGCTGCAATTCTGAATGAGTGCTCCAGGGAAGAGGTTGAAGTCATTGAGCGGCCTCATGTCTAAGACTGGCTGCAAACAGAATGACAGCCTAGGAGCTGTGCATAAGAATCTATAATCCTATTGTTTTTTTAAAAATCCACTGAAACAGCCTCCCAGAAAAGTGCAATTTTCATAAGTAATTTTTAGACTTTTAAACAATGTTTCCAAAGTTCTCTAGCTAAGGTGGAATCCTGCCCAAACCCTTCGTATTTTCTTATTGTTCAGCACTAGACATGTGACAGTGAATAAAATCCAGGCGCTCCCAGCAGAGGGCAGGTTTCTGCTTCCCCTACTTGGCCCTCTGGTGGATAGCTCCATCTGGCACCCAGCACTGGAGCTGAAATGAAAGGCAGGCAGTCACCTGCAGACTTGCCTGCACTCATGTTCGCCTCTCACCATTGCTAGCACTGGTCAGAGCTGAATTAGTGAAAGCAGCAGTGGGGCATCTGGTTGGCGGGGGGGGGGGGGTAAGCCGAGGGTGGACACCACAGCTGATGGGAGTTGGAATGAACTTTCCCCACAGTCAAGTTATTCCATCAGTGCCCATCTACTGAAGCACCTGATATTAGCCATTGTCAAACAGAACATTCAGCTAGATGGAGCTGCTCTGATCTGCAATAGCAATTCCTAAGATGGTTTTTACTTACATACGATCATAATTCATGCACATGAGGGTGCAGAATTAGGGATGCATGTTTCATTTTAGCCTCAGCACTTCTTAACACTGTGTCCTTAACCATGCACACTTGGTATTGGATTAATATGGTTTGGAGCACTGAATTTGACTTAAGAGGTTTCATATTTGTATAATTAAACAAGACTTTGTACAATTAAACTAGCTAAAGCCCATCCTGGGTTGTACATTTTTGCCTGTAAAAGTTCTTACCAGGTCACATTCCACAGCCATTTTAATACAGGTGAAAATCCAGGCACAATGAAGAGGAATATTCATATTAGGGGAAAACTTTTCCACATGATATAGACAGCCTTAAAAGGCGTTCTTGTCAAGTCAAATTTGACACCAAATTCTGGTCTGTGAAAACAAGCTGTTACAAAATTTAGGACCAATTTTGAAGATTCCATGACATTTTAAACAATACACATTCCCTCGGGGCGCTTGCAGTCCAAACACTACAATACTGCGTCAGTGCATGAGAACCTGGAAGTGACATTGGCTAACCCAAGAGTGAGACTTTCACTGCTGAGGAAAATACAAAGAGCAAAATGAACAATATAAGGAGTAAAAAGTAATCTAAGTGTTTTAATTTGCTCTATTTTAATAGTCTCAAGTATTATTAGACAAATAGTATTTTCTTAAATACAATTTATAACCCAACTATCTGTTTAAACGCGATATTTACAGGTCTTTTCTATTACTGTTGTCCATACTAACGTTGCTAGTAATTGAGGTTTTTGTGTCTCAGGAAGTTTTCCCTCCATCCCATTTCATCTAGTGTGTAACCTGAACTTGACACACCACAATAATGTCTAGGACAGCAGATAGTGAGATTATAAATCCGGAAAGATCAGGCAGTGTGTTTAGCAAAACCAGAAGGGAGAAAGCCCTTAAAAACACACAAGTGGTCTATAATAATAGACCACAGAACACAGCTGACCACTCCTCAAGTAAAAGTAACTTACTTTCTCTGTCATTGTGCTCATGTTCCCATGCTTGAGTCAGTGTGAAAGTCCTTTAACATATTTTAATACACTCCTAATGCTCATGTTCTCTCTCTGGTTTATAACTAAATCATTGCAAATGTTGTTACAAAAATAAAAAAGCACTTGACCATCATTATCCAATCCAATTTGTCATAGTTTATTTACTGCACCTGACTCTATGCAATACCAGCTGATGTTCACATCTATCAAGATGTCCCAGCAAGTAGCTGGTAAATGATAAAGAAAATTGGCAAAACGTGCAATGTAAGCTTCACTCTATGCCTGTTTCGGAACTCTTTGTTAAGCCTAGGGTACTTACAGTTGCAGGCATAAGTCTGAAGGAAGCTCACAGAAAGGCATATGGCAATCAATATTTCAGACAGTAATAACACTGCATGCTAAACAGAACAGAGGGGCCATAAGTTGCTGAAAAAAGGCACGCAGACACGCATTTTAACATGTCTTCTGTAGCATACAGTGCTCCGTATCATTCTTTTCATGTTTACTTCCTTTGCAATGTTTTCTACAGCATCTCAGAATATAAGACTGAAACTTTGTCCTATTGATTTGTGCTGCCCAGAAAAGCAGGATCAAGCAGTACTAATGCAAATCGATTGGTGGATTCTTTTTATCCCTTATCATTTTAACTGAAATGACAGAACTCTTGCCTGCTGCATTACAATTAGTGTCACAATGCATTCCCATGACCTCTCAGGACACCCTAGGAAGGCTGTTGCTGAACGGACAGGCGAGTTAGAGATTTCTGTCTTAAATCACATTTTCAGTTCCCAGCAAATCTATGTTGTAAGGAAGCACTAAAGAAGGCTAGAGTATCCTCATGGACTGGAATACTGAACTGAGATCATTCTGAATTTATTTCTGGTCTGGGACGTGCTTTAATGTGATTCCATTGCAATGTCAACAAATCCAAGAACAGGAGGAAGATTGTTAATTGTTACATTAGGTCTGGTGTGAAGTACAGTGTTATTCAGTCATAGCACTGTAGGTCAACAAGAGCCATATTAAAGCTGCATTAGTTTCCTCTTGAGTACACAGGCAAGACACACTTGAGCATTATGAGACACTACATATCTACGCAAAGAAATAACTAGGCTATGTATGATAGTTGTGTAATTTAGAACGATGTCCACTAGACCTGCGATTTCATTTCACACACAATTTATGGACAGATTACAGCTCTCCAAATGCAATATAGTCACCTTCATGAGGCTTTTACTATGATGAGAAACCAGGGAGGAGACTGAGTCAACTGCCATTCTAGGAAAGAGCCACTGGGGCCTACCCAGCCCCAAATAAAAGATTCTCCCTTAGGAAGCTCTTATAGGGTCAGATCAAAAAACCCACTGAAAATACAGTGAAAAGACTCCCACTAACTTCATGGGCTTTGGAGCAGGTCCCTGGTGCTGCTAGCAGCCAAGTCATGGTGTCTTATAGGTGGCATTAACATCCTGCATTGAGGTCCTTTTTAGGCTTCATGACACAACCTTGTGCTTGTAGCAGCTAAGTCAGGCTAATTCACCTTGGGACAGTCCATGCTGCAAGGCTCCGTGCACACGCTTCAGCTCCAGGAACCCCTGGGACCTTGAGTGAATTCTGACCATCACTTCCCAGGCATGTTTCTTTCCAGCACTGTCTGTGCCAATTAAAAGGATTCCCCTGAGCAGCTATTCAGCCGAAATCCCTGTCTCTTCTAGTAGCTGATTATCACAAGTTTGAGTTTGGCGCAGCACATCAGCCTGCATCCTGGCTGTGAGGGTCACATGTCAGTAATTGAACAGATGGTAGGATACAGGGATCCTGCAGAAAGAAGGTTTTTTCCTTCCCCTTATTTTCTCCACACAGTCACCAAAATGCTGTGGGTTTGCATACAGTAAACTGGAACACACAACTATTTCCAATGTTCCACAGAAGCTTTTTGATATGACAAGTAACTGACGAGAAACACTGAAAGGCACAAATGCTACAGAAGAGATTCTGCATGTAACTAGGTCAGTGTGCCCCACCAGTGTGACACTTCTCAGGGGACTGACGCCTGGAACCCAGCTTCCAAAAAGGGGCTTTGCTCGCTTCCAGCTCCTCCCTTCAGACACATTAGCCTGATGCTGCCGCCATTTTTCATTGCATTTGCACTGTGTATTTCATACAAATGCACCATGACCAATCTGACCTTTGCTGTCACTTGGCCTTGCCAATCAGTCTATGGCCCAATGAATTTAGCTTCCAATTCCTAATATGTCAGACAGCGTCATTGTGCAGGCACACCAAGCAAGGGAAGAAGTGCTATCTACAGTATTAAAAGGTAACTCGTTAACTTGTGTATAGGGCCCAATTGCTCCTCCACGGATTCCGTCAACACTTTGTCAGTTAACAATTTAGTACAAAACGCCTATTAAGGACCAATTCCTAACAAGTGTCAATTCACAGGAATGTTATCCTCTCAAAGATGAAAGAGATCACCACCCTAAATATTAGATAATACACTGGAGGTTACCAGAACACAACATAGGAAACAGAACGTGTGCAGAATCATTTAAGGATTCCTCTCCAAACTTGGTCTCCAATCCAATTATATCAATATCTTAGTTTATCTTCATTAATCATATTAATTTATAACCACACCGACTACAGATAAAACAGATTAATAAATTCCATTATATCGTACTTCAAAACTGTGAGTAAAATTGCAATTTCAAACAACGCTTCCAATGTTCTGACATCAAGTGTATGTTAGGCCATCACAGGACATGATCTTCATCCTTCTTAAAATTGAAAGATAGCCTTGAAAGTGTATTAACGTAATGATTTCCTCTTCTGGCTACATTTATGTTCATTCTGACAAATACAAAAATTGTATAATCTCAAATCCTAATAAAGAGATCAAATCTAAAGAGTTGAGAATGAAATGGTAAAGCTGAGTTTATTAAAAAGCTTTGTGTTTAAATAAGAAATATAAAAGCTGCCAAAAATTAAAAAACAAACAAAAAAACACAGCCTGATTGGATCACAGCTTCATGCCTACTGTAAATTATAGATCTGTGGCTCTGATCTGAGCTCTCATTAGCACAGACTACTACAAACCAAAGCTATCCAAAATTTTACTTCAGTGCAATGCTTTTCTAGCTTAATTGTAGATGACATAAAGAATCCTGTGCACACATCTCACCTCCTAAAATAGCTTCTCCAATTGATGGCTACTGCACAGTTCCAAAAAAGCTAAAATCAACACACACAGATCTTTTCAAATTAAAATACAATATTGTAGAGAAGTGACAGGGTTAACTCATGCAATAAATTAGAAATAACTCCTATCAGCACCAACAGTCATCAGCGTATAGCTGATGCCCCCCCGCTACAACTTCATGCCCTAGTGAATCTGCATACTGGATCTATACCTTCCGCAGCCTTGCCATCTAATTTATGAAATAATCCACTGCAGTTGGTTCTACTTATCTGAGCTGCTATTTTAAAACACACAAAGGGCGTAGAAACGCACAGTGTCACTGAGTCTATAGGGTCTAAATGTTTATGTTAAGATCAAACGTGATTTGCAGTATGCTTTACTAATGACAACCTTTAATACCCACTCAAGCCAAGTGCTCTTATGAAGACAAATATTAGGACTCCTGGGCCCAAACAATAGATATTGGAAGCTCTCTTTGAAGCAATGGTGCAGAATTTAATTAAAGGTTGTCAAGTAAAAATCCTATTGCGTGTCCTCAATGCCTAGTTAACATTCAGATGGGCTGTGGACTCAGTGGAGAAAATGCACGTGTACAAATGCAGCTCCACAGCGGTCACTCATTGCTGAAGCAAATTTGGGTCTAGGGCTCACTGCACAGCATCAGACACTCAGCTGGCGTAAATCAGCCTCGCTCCATGGACTTTGATGGAGCTTTGTTGATCTACACCAGCTGCAGATCTGGCCTCAACCTCCATAATCAAAGGCTTGAACGTTGTGCACAAAACCTCCAACTCTGGAGTTTTGCTATTTGAAGACTGGACAAATTGGGGCAAGTTTTCTCATGTCATTAAACAAATGGCTGTTCAGAAGCAGAAAACCTCAGTTAATTGCTGTGTCTTTTGCATGTACGGAGTCCCAGGAAACAGAGTAAATAGAATGAATGCCTAGAACAGCAATGTTCCTTAGGGTTACTCCTTCCAACTTTGGGGGTGGGGGGGGAGTGTTCATGGACACCAACTTCTCTTGGTGAGAGAAACAAGCTTTCCAAAACTTGCAAGCTTGTCTTTCTCACCAACAAAGTGTCCAGCGAAAGATGATACTTCACCCACCTTGTTTCTCTAATGTCCTAGGGCCGACGTGACTGCACCCACACTGCATACACAGTAAAAGTGTTACCTCCAAATATACCCATGAGTTTAGTAAGCTTCTGCACTGATCACTTAATGCATCCAGGTAAAAACAGCTGGGAGGCTTCAAGTCTCTGAAGTGATCTTTAGTTAAATGCAAAGAAATAACTCCCCTCCCCGCCCCACAAAACCAGTGCACAGCTCTGGGTGGGATGAACGTGGGCAGGCTACCCACAGAGGGGCACAAGAGCGAATGAAGCCCTGCCCTATGGCTGTACAGGTAGAAAAGGGGAGGGGAAGAGCATGGGGTTGGAGCAGAGCTCTCCTCATTGATCTTCTCTCCCTCCTTGGTGAGATGTGGGCAGGCAGGAAATGCCCTTTACTGAGAACGACCTTTCACCCCAGGTCTTCAGGCCCCCCACGTAGTGCTGGCTATAAGGAAAGGTGATGGGCATTTGAGACAACTCCATTCACCTCAAATTTCTGTCTGAGTTCCTCGTTTCCCTCTTCTCCCTCCGGGGGAACCGGGACGTTGAAGTATTCCCCCTCCTCCTGGCTCAGCAGTTTAAACCTAGATGGAAAGAGCAAGAACAGCACATAACTAAGACAGGCCTGAACCTCAGACACCAGGCACAGAATCACAGAACCACCGGGTTAGAAGGGACCGCCAGGGTCATTAGTCTAACCCCCTGCCAAGATGCAGGATTTGTTGGGTCTAAACCAGGGGAGGGATAGCTCAGTGGTTTGAGCATTGGCCTGCTAAACCCAGGGTTGTGAGTTCAGTCCTTGAGGGGGCCATTTAGGGATTTGGGAAAAAAATTGGGGATTGGTCCTGCTTTGAGCAGGGGATTGGACTAGATGATCTCCTGAGGTCCCTTCCAATCCTGATATTCTATGATTCTATGATCTGAGACAGATGGCCCCAGCCTCATTTTGGCTTGGCTGTTAAACACAACTGTCCTGCTCCATTCCCTTTTCCTTCTACACCTATGATGATCTCCTGGGTTTGAAAGAACCCAACACTTTATACTCACAATACCCCCTTCATCAGATTTCCTGCTGTGTCTCTGGAACACCATGCAGGTGGGAGTGTTATCTCTAGGCTGAGCTGGCATCCTTTAGTGTTTGGTTGTTTTCCTCCCCACATACAACAGCATAATGCCCTTCAACGAGGCACCTTGATAGGCGTTTTTGCCAAGTGCTATAGACACCAGGAGCCATTGGAGCCTGGTTTAAACTAAAAAGAAAAGGAGGACTTGTGGCACCTTAGAGACTAACCAATTTATTTGAGCATAAGCTTTCGTGAGCTACAGCTCACTTCATCGGATGCATTCATCGGATGCATGTTTCCACAGTGTGCATCCGATGAAGTGAGCTGTAGCTCACGAAAGCTCATGCTCAAATAAATTGGTTAGTCTCTAAGGTGCCACAAGTCCTCCTTTTCTTTTTGCGAATACAGAGTAACACGGCTGCTACTCTGAAACCTGGTTTAAACTAGGGGCCCGACTGAAAGTCTATTGAAGTCAGTCTTTCCATTGACTTCAGTGGGTTTTGAATCCTGCCCTCTCAACCAAGGCAGTGAAACTGGTAGTAGCACCAGCGAGATAGAGACTTTGGCACTGCTGACCCGATCGGCTCCCGGGGGGCCCAGGACCGGAAGAGCAGGCCAGCTGCTTGTCGCCAGAGCACTCAGGGACGGTGGGGCTAGTGCAGCTGCAATGGCTGTTTCTGCTCCGGCGTGTCGTTCCGCTGCATGATCTGGGAACCCATGTTCCCTGTAAACTGCGGGTAGCAAGAGCAGGACATGGAGGGCTAGAGCAGATGCTGCAGCACCTGCTGGGGAGCAGGCCAGAACCTAGGTGATCGGGCCAGGGCTGGGAGCAGCTACCCTCGGCAGCCAGTGAGAGAGATGGAAATGGCCGGGACCCGCCTTCCCAGCCTGGAGCCAGCTGCCCACCCACTCAAGTCTCAGTAGCTCCCCATGCACATCGCCCACCCTACTCCCCCTCCTATCATCTGCATCCCCTCTCAAAGCGAGCTTCCACTGCCTTGGAGAACAGCCACAGCCACAAAGTGTGAAACAAAGCAAAGATTTCCACATAAATGGTGGGGGAGAGGGAGGGGGGTGGAGAGTTTAGCCAGCAATTAACAGAAATCTTGGAAATGTCATTCAGACCTGAGGTATTTTATTCAGCCCCAGGCAAAGCCTGGGCTCCATCAGCGAATTCCTTTCTACAGCAGCCTGCGAGGGGCTGGGGCCATTATCATTATCGGCTGGATGTTATCTAGAGAGGCTTGTGTCTGCAGTGAATGAACAAAGTGGTATTTGCATAATACAGAGACGGCCTCTTCCTTTGGGCCAGCTTTCTCCATTAACTGCAGTTGTTTAGATATGAAATATGCATCAGAGCCTTCTCCCAGAGTTTATTCTAGCCAAATGCTGTGACAAGGAAAGTTACTTAGATTTCCACTTACACGATTTTTAAAACTCAGTGCGAAACTCTGTATCATGCTTTCCATTGCGCTAGGAGGGGGCGATGGACTGATCCCAGTTGGAGAGCACACATTCCTGCAGGCAACCATAAACCTTGGAGGAATTTGTAATTCAGTTTCTTTCCAGGAGAGAGACACTGCCTCCATTTCAGGTATATTTTAAGGGAATGAGGCCCAGGGGACCTGAACGTGGTTTCGGGAGATGGGATCTCTAGTTCCTGATCTCATTGTTGCAGGGAGCCTCTGTCTCTATGCTTCAGCTTCTCCATCTGCACAATGGGGCCCGTAAGACCTGCCTTCCAGGGGAGCTGAGAGGCATCACTGACGTTTGCCAGGCACTCAGAGCTCCAAATGTGAGAGGCAGGGTATTGTTACGACTATTTCATTAGCAGAAAAGCCTGCCAGGAAGGAGGTACTAATATAACCGGACCAGAGCACTGTGTTCCACTAGCGAGGTAAGTTACCCATCACTGAGCAGCACGCAGCCCAGCCATGCACCTTCCTGGCGGTTCTGGAGAGGCTACTCCTGGAGCTGCTCTGTACTTTTATAACGATACAGACACTTCTATCCAGAAACCCAGATTTTGGAGGTGGAAAAGGTGTAGTCCCATTCCTCGCCTTAAACAGGGGTGGACCTACTTAATATTTACAAATGCCTTATCAGGCCTTCTTGACACACACACCACCCCCCTCCTCCTTTCTTCCCCCTCCCATGCCCCCAGGAGCTATTCTGCAGGATCAAGTGGGAACCTGGACAAGATAATATAGTAATAGGGTGATGTACAGGCATATTTGTTCTGGAATGCCACCACCAGTTAAAAATAACAAATTACAGTTGTAGGGCACTTGTTGATTATTCTGTTTTCGAAACGTTCCTTCTCTAACTGCTCGGAGTTAAATTAGAAATACGGGCTCTTACACACTTTTCCCTCTATATCTGCAAAGCAGTTTCTTCAAAGAAAAAGTGGAGAATCCAGGGAAGCTTTTTGCCTCCCATAATAAGTGGTCCGGTCTGGTTTTTTGTTTGCAAGACGCATACAATACCAGTTTAAATTACTATACTTCACATGGTAAGGTAAGGTATCTCTCAAGCCGCAGTGACTACAAAAGGAAATTAAAATGGCATGAAACCTGCTGGGGAAGATAACATGAAAATCAACAGATCCCATACAAGATGATTTTTATGGACCCACTGTGTTCATCTTTCGTATGGTAACAAGTGACAATAATTACATGCTTTGGATAGGATTTCTCATTTCATTGGAAGAAACCTCTAATCATCATTTCAGCTAGTCCATGGACTGCAGAAGCAACAGCCTCTGACATAATTCATGTTCTTCTCGACTCTCTCCCTTAACTAGCTACCACTCTGGCTTTTCTTTGTATTCACACTGTGATCAACACAAAGGCTCCTTGCTGGGTAAGTAAAGCCAAGAGACTATTGTTAAAATCACCCTGATTACATTTTTCATGCTCCCTTGTAGCCCAATACATTTGGGATTTTGAAACCTACGTACTAACATGCAGAACAAATGCTGGAATTTGGGATTATGAATTAAATGCCGTATCATTCTGATGTGTGCCGAGACCAGGGATGGCCAAACTGTGGCTTACGAGCCACATGTGGCTCTTTTACAGTTAAAGTGCGACTCACAGAGCCCCTCACACCCCTGCCCATTCTCCACCTACCAGACTGGTGGGGAGGCTCGGGGCTTCTGCCCTGCGGCAGGGTGGTGGGGTTAGGGGCTTCTGCCAGAGATGATTGGGGCCTGCTGAAAGTGGGGGACATAATTTAAAGGTTTGCTCCGCCCACAACAGCGTGAGTCACACACACCCAGGCACACCCTCACTCTTCCCATCAGCAGCCCCGCGCTGCAGCTGCCAGGTGTTCGCTCCTTGGGGAGAAGTAGCGGAAAAGAGCTGGGAGCTGCAGGGAAGGGCCTGCTGCTTTAGCTCCATGGGGCGAGGCAGCAGCAAACACAGCTCCCAGCTTGCCAGCTCCAATAGCTGCCATGTGGGGAGGGGGCCTGGTGGCACCATGTGACCAAGTGGGGCCAGCAACCCTGACAAAAATTGGGGGGAGAAGGCGGAGGGGGGAGAGTGACCACATGTGCATGCGCCGCACCCTCCCCCAACAGGTGTCACCTCCTGCTTCTGCCCAGCAGGGAGAGGGGTCTTGGGGCTTCAGCCCCACAAGGAGCACCTGCCAGGGCTCGGAGCTTCATCAGGAATGGGGCTGAAGCTTGGAGCCCCAGCAAGTGTACCCTGGCTCTCCAACTTCTGAAGATTGCCGTATGCAGCTTGGACGGTCAGTAAGTTTGGCTGCCCCTGGCCTATACACATGAGAAACCCTCAGAGCTCACAACCAGCCAGAACCAAAACGTGAAACACAACAATGTGTGACAAAAAGGCACAGTGAAGGGGAGACACAATTTAAGCCACCCAGTGAAGGAAATTCAAAATGCGGTATCAGAATAGCAGCCGTGTTAGCCTGTATTCGCAAAAAGAAAAGGAGGACTTGTGGCACCTTAGAGACTAACCAATTTATTTGAGCATAAGCTTTCGTGAGCTACAGCTCACTTCATCGGAGTTGCATCCGATGAAGTGAGCTGTAGCTCAGGAAAGCTTATGCTCAAATAAATTGGTTAGTCTCTAAGGTGCCACAAGTCCTCCTTTTCCTTTTGCAAAATGCGGTAGGAATACCTCCCTTCACTAGTCTCATTCTAGGACCTCAGCTGCATGATTCTTTATTGTGGATGTAAATCACTGGCAGCAATCAGAGTGATGGGATGTGTTGTGTGGAACACAGGGGACTTAGGGGCTAAAATGGTTGTTTGAACAGTTTGGTAGCCCTCCACAGAATGACAGGTTGCCAGGTCTTTTCCTACTGGGTACAAGGTGATACTGCTGTGTTGAGAGCTCTGTGGCTTTAGAGCAAATTGAGTCTTACCATCCATCAACGCTTAATTTCTGAAGCTCAGAAATCCCAAACGACAAAGACCCCATGAAATCATTTCTGCTGGTCAGATCCCAGTCCCAAATCTCCACTGACAACCTTCTGTCTTTGTCCGACTCTTTCAGCTGACTGCAATAAAGGAGGGGGGGGAAGAAGCAAAATTTCTGTAGTGGAAGTTATCTCCGCAATTCCACATGTTTCGCGCGTGCGTTCAATAAATAAATGAATATGAAATGAAGTGATGGTCTTCGGCGACAATATGTTTCTTTAATGTTTAATTTGCTGATAGTGCACATTTCAAATGGAGAATGTAGAGTTCTTTCATTGAAATGCAAGACTTTGATCAGTGCACAGAGCAGAAGTTAAAGCATTTCCAAAGACATTTATTATGACAGGAAAAAAGTTACTTCTCCATTGAATCAGCTGAATATTTCAGATAATTAAAGCCCAGCAAACACATTCACAATCATTCTGGAGACAAGAGGGTCTACTTTACAATATTAAATTTGTGTTACTCTACTTACAATGTAAAAGTCTCATTCCATTCAGGATTCAGAGAGCACTTTATAGTTTTGGTCTTCTGTTTGCTTTCACTTTTCGGGTCGGGGATTAGTTTAAGTTTCACATAAGGGTCTGACAAGCCATTAGGGTCCATAGGAACTAGGTTTCTGGCGTCTCTTACTAGGGAAAAAAATAAAAAGTAAATTCAATATTAAAACTACAAAGATATCCGCAGCTCTATTCAGCTTCCTTAAAAATATCTGTGTCCCATACGCTTATGCATTGCGTAACTGACTGACATTATATTGAAATACTGACTGAAAACTGAGTTAATATAGGTTTCAGAGTAGCAGCCGTGTTAGTCTGTATTCGCAAAAAGAAAAGGAGTACTTGTGGCACCTTAGAGACTAACCAGTTTATTTGAGCATGAGCTTTCGTGGTAATAGCTCACCTTAAGTGATCACTCTCGTTACAGTGTGTATGGTAACACCCATTGTTTCATGTTCTCTATGTATATAAATCTCCCCACTGTATTTTCCACTGAATGCATCCAATGAAGAGAGCTGTAGTTCACGAAAGCTTATGCTCAAATAAATTGGTTAGTCTCTAAGGTGCCACAAGTCCTCCTTTTCTTTTTGAGTTAATATAGACATTGATCATAACAGGAATGATTAATACAAAGTAAATACACACGTAATGAACATTCTGTTCAAACGCAGGACTGTGAAGTTCCTTCTCTTCCTCCTGCTGGTTAAGAAGAAATGAACTGCCATCCCAGATCATACCAGCGGTCCATCTAATCCAGTATCTTGTCCCTAACGGTGGTGTGCTTCAGAAATGCTTCAGAGGAAGATGTAAGAATCCTGCATTAACAGATGTGAGATAATCTGCCAGCTCTCTAATAGTTAGAGATTGGCTAAGGCCCTGAAGCACAAGGTTTAACAAAAATTTCCGATTAGTATTAACTGGATATTCTTTTCATCCATATAAATGTATAATCCACATTTTAATTTTGCTAAATTCTTGGCCTCAATGACTTCATGTGGCAATGAGTTCCACATTCCAATTATACATTGTGTTTTGAAGGAAGGATTTCACTTTATTATTTTTACTTGTACAGCAACCAAAAGTGTGTTAAGTGCTTTAGCATAACGCCCAGGAGTCAGGTGGCTCAGAGGGCAGTCCAGATCAGGGATCAGAGTTCACACAAGAGGTCCAACAGCCAGGAGATGCAATCCAAGGGGAAGGCAGAGCAAGGCTGCTGGCAGGGTCAGGTGAGGCAGCAAAGCAGGCCAGGAGCGTCTGAGTAGCAACCAGCAGGCAATGGCTTGTTGCTCAGACAAGGCCAGACAGGAAGCAGGAAATATATATGGTTACCAACCAGAGTCAAGACCATGTGGCTAATCAGGAAGCAGGTCGTGGAACCGCTGAAAGCTAGCCCACCCAGGTCTATGAATTCCCTGGTAATTCAATGAGTTGGTGTGGTACAATGGCCAAAGCTGCTTCCCAAGAACTTGGTGGGCCCAGTTTCAAGACCAGGGTCCTAGACCAGGGTCCTGACACTTAGACATAATAGGAGAGTTCCTGCCAATAGTCTAAATAAAACAAACATGTAGGGAGAGATTTTCAAGAGTGCATACGTCATTTATGAACACTAATCCCATTTAAAACTATCAATGGAACATGTGCTCCTAAACAAACTAGGGCTAGAGTTATAAAGATATTTAGGCACCTAAAGATGCAATTAGGCATTTAGTGGGATCCACAAAACACAGGCACCCATTTCCCACTGACTTTAGAGGGAGTCCATCACCTAACCTGCTTAGGTACATTTGTAAACACTACCCAGTGCCTATAAGCATCTTGTGGGGCCTAAACGCCTCTGGAAATCTGGCCCCCAACCTGATGATCACTTTAGATAAGCTATTACCAGCAGGACAGTGGGGTGGGAGGAGGTATTGTTTCATATTCTCTGTGTGTATATAAAGTCTGCTGCAGTTTCCACGGTATGCATCCGATGAAGTGAGCTGTAGCTCACGAAAGCTCATGCTCAAATAAATTGGTTAGTCTCTAAGGTGCCACAAGTACTCCTTTTCTTTTTACTCTGAAACCTTTGAAAACTCTATTTCTGAGAGGAGAGAACTAAAAACCGCACATTGCAAACAGTAAAATAAAACGAAGAATGAGATCCAGGGTTTTTCTATAAGAAGAGAACAGCACTGATTTGAATTTAAATTTCCCTCGAAGAACAAGAGGCTCAAGAAATAGGTTCAGGATATAGATTAGTGCCTGGGCTGAAAATGCCCTTCACTGTCCTAGGAAGGACAATAGAAAGAGCAAAGTGATGACCATTGCAAGGGCAAATTAGACATGAGGGAAGTTTAATCAGGGTGGCAGATTCTAATGCAGGGCTCTTCTGTTGAGCCACTCCAGGTCAGCTGCGAAAGCCCTGAATTCAGAGTCAGGATAATTACAATGAGTCATGCTGCAAGTGGGGCTAGAATACAAAACAGGAGATGGGAGCCTCTCCTTGGGCCAGAGAACATGAGAGAGCTAGAGACTGGAGGGAAACTCTAAGAACAGGCGCAAACGAAGAAGGGGAAGTCTGAAGAAATAGAAAAGAAGCGCACAGGCTGTGCCGTCAAGTTCCAGAGGGCTATCACTGGTGCCTCTTTGGCTGAAAGAATGGCCAAGAGAAATCAGAAGCCTGAAGTGCGAAAGACCCAGCAGGAACAAGCTATTAGGGCTGCCAAAGAAGCCAAGGTGGCTAAGCAGGCAACCAAGAAGTCTATACCCTCTACAACAAAGGCTGCATCTCAACAAAGGATTATGAAGCCAGTGAAAGTTTCTGCTCCTCGGGTTGGTGGAAAGCACTGACTTGTCAAGCAGTAGTTGGTTGCATTAAATAAACATCGGACTGACTTTCCAAAAAAAAAAAAAAAAAAAACCCAGCCAAGTTCTGGGAGAAAGCCTCAGCAAAGGTGTATGTCATGTTGTTGTTGATTTCCACTAGTTACAAACATCAGTAAACATAACCCATCTAATCTCTGCATACGCTGGAAAAGGAACTATGTTCCACAACCACAGGGCGGGTTCAAAGGGACACAGTGGGTTTATCACATGAGTTTTAAATACTTACTTGCAAAAAAACCAAAACCAAAACCAAAACAAAACAAAAACCCCCAGAGCAAAAAAGCAAACCCCAAAACAGGTGCCTGACGTGAGAGCAGGGAGTCAACAGCCGGGGTGGGGGGCAGGGTGGAAGGGGGGCAGCCAAACACCCACAACGCAGACATAGCAAGTCCCATGTCCTTTGAATTTCTTGGTAAACTCAGTGCTCAAGCCCGTTTTGGGAGGACGGCCTTGGGAATCGCAAGAGGCGGGGACGTCATTTCTAAGCTCTACAGTTAGAACAGGACTGTAGCCTCTCTCGGGGAATTTGCGGGGAAGCTGCAGAAGAACGACGAAGAGAGGTTCCATCATTTCTGGAACCAGGCAATTCCCATGAGCCGCTGGCTCCAGAACGAGGAGATAGTTCTCTCTCCCCAGTGCTCCGTGAGCGTGGGCTAAAGACCATTTTAACTGAATTCAAAATGAAGTAATCAGAGGAGATAAAGCAGGTGGGGGAGGGGAGATGTGCAGGAGACCTCAAGTGCTTCTAACTGGATTGTAGCATTATCAAATAAAATTAGGCTGCGGAACCAGATTAGATGTCAAAGAGTTGCGTGCCAAGCTCCCGGTCCGAGAGCCGCGCCGAGCTCCTGGTCCAAGAGCCGCCAAGCATTCGAAGCACGATCTCATTTGTGGTCAGGTGGCCGGGCTGAGGAGACGATATTCCAGATGAGAAGTCCCACTGGATGCATTGAAGCACAGACAACAAGGGGTTAAAAATGTGCAAGAGGATGTAGCTGCCCCTCTGCTGAAAGCTGAGGGAGAACACCTCCTCTTCGCCACTGGATACAACCACTAGCAAGAGGCTCCGTCGGGTGCTAAATTGGGCTGTGGGTGATGACAGTGAAAGGGTTAATTTGGAAAGTCAGCTTGTCTAATCTACCTATTATTGAATCAAATAAGAGAGCCCCAGAACTCTAGGTGGGGGAAGGAAAAAGCAATGTGTAAAATCCTGGCCACGGATTTCTATGGAACCAGGATTTTACCCAGTATTCTGCTCCAGAGGAGGAATACCAACCAGGCCTGTTGTATGTGAATGCAGAGCGTTAGAGATTACTTGTAAAGATCCAAGTCATTTCAAAATATGCCTCCCTAGTCTTTTCGAAAGCCTTCTGAGTGCAGGACTGGGAGCCAGTTTGTTTTTCAAAGGGGATTACTGCTTCAAACTCTGCAATCTAGCTCGGTCCTCCTGAAACACAGCCCAACTTCTGGCTCCATGAAATCAAACTCATAGCCAAAAATCAAATCTCCATTTATAAATGAACTCATTCATCAAACATGACACCTTCACCAGAAGCACGAAAGATACAGAAAGGCAAAGCTGCAAGGGAATAGCCTGCAATCCAATCAAAGATACCTGGGCTGTATCATTGATTTTATAGCACTAAATATTCTTCAGAGTCAAAAGATGACCAAGCCATGTGGATCAAAGAACCTTCTTGTACCTTTGACAGAGGAGGGGACAGGACTGACTTCATTATAGACAGCCAGATAAGAAAAATATATAGTGGGCAAGGACCCACAGAGGATCAGGATACGTCTGGAACAGGTTGCGTCTGTTTACTGCAAGATTATGGGCCCAAAGTGCCCACATCAAGGCTCAAGAGTACAGCGGGTGCCATTCAACATTCACCAACAGTTTTTGCACCACAGTATTTGAGACGGCATAGTTCTTTCCTATTAAGTGGAAGGAAATATCGTGGGCATTCAAGATATTACAGTATAGTTTCTCTTGGCAGACACTGGCTAGGACTACTTTGTTTTCCCAAGGATACAAAGCATGGATGATTTCACCCCCATTACAATCACAAGAAGCTCCTCTCCCTTAAAGACAATCTTCAAGCTATTAGTTCAGAAAATACCAAAGTCCAGCATCTGTATAAAAGATGCTGCCAGATGTGTTTTGCTAATGATCCCTTTGCAGCAACTCCCAACCCCTGTGGGAGGATAAGCCATTGGAGAAAGAGGTGTTATTCCCATCTTACCCTTTTTAGGGCCTGGATAAGCAT